TACCACACGATATGCCCCACGCACTAACCAACTCCACTTCAAAACTCTTCATGACTTTCCTCCTAACCCCCTCCTTTTTTTTCGCCTCCCACCTTCCTCCACAGAATGTGTGCGCCGCTGAACGCGGCCCCAATAATCATAGGCGGGCCCCTATGGGAGAGCCTTTGCCAGTATGTATGATAAAAATTAGCTTAGCTACTAGATAGGCGAGTCCGCTTCGCCCGTCGTATATTCCGCTCCGGGATCTTTGTGGGCACGTGACCAACGCACGTGCCACTTTTCCGACGTAAAATAGCAACTACTACTACTACTTACACGTTTGAAAGGCATACCTTTTTGCGATTCACTATGGCAGAACGAACAGAACGAACGTTTTTCGGCAAGTATTGGATCGATAAGGATGTTGTCTTCGGGACTTCACACAGTTCGACATGGACCATCATCAAAAAGCTCTCTGAAAAACCCATGCAGATGCTTCCAGAGCATGCCTAAGGACCTTACAGCTGGGGGGCTTCCTATATCCTAGCTCTGTTCCTCGCTGAGACAAGTCAATCTAGAAAATGAGGCATTTCTTGCGAATATATAAACAGGACCCGCATCTTGGAACTGAAGGTGACCTTTACACTGAACGACAGGCACAAGCTGGAAGGCGTCCCTATGAAGAGGTAAAAGCCCTCCTGTTGTTCACTGAAATGGGTGCCAAGTACTTGCCCTGAAGGAGCAATCAAGGTCGATGGGAGATGGGCAGAGGGACATGTGAGATGGAGGAAAAACTGGTATGCCCGTTGCTCTTTCGCATTATCTGTTTCAACATGGACGAGATAAGAACCCAGCTAAGCTCGTGGGAAAAATTTGTTTCTGTGATGCAATGCTTCCCATACATCCGTCAACAACACGACGAAGTGGGTTATGCCAGTTTAATTGAATGGATGCCAAATATTCTCTTGATAGTCTAAAACGGCTAATGGATACTGGAATATAGTTCAGTCAGTTGTTGCTTACCGCCAGTCAGTACATATATCTCGGCAGTGGGAGATGTTCTGTCTCATGTGGGCACAGGTGACAGAGCTTGCAGCGTGCTGGAGGTCGATTAATACCTCAACCAACTGAGCTAGAGACGAAAACGAAAGGAGCGAGGGAGTGGCGGATCAGTTCTGCTTATTTACTACATTCAGCGATTTGAAGACCCACCGTTCTGTTCATGCGCTGAAGTTCAATGACTAATGTGGTGAACAGTTCATTGACTGGGTTCTTGGACATCCTGCTCTATTGAATTATACAAATCCCTTTTGGGTATCTACATAATATTATAGCCCAAAGAATTAATCATCCGCTAGGATGTCTATACCAAACAAGCATAAACAAAATCACCCGATACACGTGCTCATTTATCAATACTATTCCACGACGATGATAAGAGCTTGGGTTGAAGTCTGGGCCACCACGCTTTCTCGGAAATATAATGCGTCACCAGCGGACGCATATTAATCAGACAGGAGGCCGTGATACCAATGGCGGGCTCGATGCATGTCCAGACGCTAGATGGCACTTGGTTATCTGGACCGAGTCAGCAGGCATATAGACGTTATGGGGAGGAAACCCGTACAGGTAATGTCATCTCCAGCTTTGGAGAGTTCAATCAGGGTGACAAGACGGATTATGTCGAAGATAAGAGTCCTAGGCCATGTTAGCTCTTTGTGTCTTGTTCTATATCATGTCGGGAAATAGCCATACAAAATCCCCAGCGCGAAAATACCAGACAGCACCGTCTTCCGTGTCTTTGAGATATGCAAATTCGCCACCATTTTCATCGGCATCGCGATAATAACAGCGTCAGTGACAATATTAGGTATTTGCAGCCCATAGTAGAACTGAGCCAGGTTTATACATCCCCCGGGAACAGTGGGATCCCACATCTTCCGGAACGGAATGCATGTAAACGCGGCGATCAAGCAGACCCCATAGCCCCAGAGGAAGACAACGGCGGCTACTGCATTTGCTAATGCGACCATGGGGCCGCGCGAGAAGATACGTTTGTAGAGGGCTAGCATGGAGAGTTTCACGCAGGTGATGCAGGCTGGGTAGAGGAAGGCGCCGGATGAGAGGGTCTTATGAGTTGTTTTCGTTAGTACGGTCGAAATTCATGTTAGGATTGGGTAAGAGGGTTATACCTTCAGGTAGACCACGAGCTGGTCCGGAGGGACATAGATCATATGTGTTCCTAGGCCGCTGTACAGGACTATCGCATGTTAGACGGGGTGCTCATGTTTGGGTTGTTCGGGTCGGCGACTTACGGACGATACCCGCAATTGAAATGCCATATAGAAAGAACTGAAATCAGGTCAGTATCTTTGAAGATTAACTGCTGCAATGAAACTAACCAAAGAAGCTAGAATGAGATAGTCATCGAGGAACAAGCCCGTATTGGTGATCTTTCTCGCCCACAACCGAAGCGCAACCGAAACAGTTGACAGAAGGAAGGCAAAACATGTCGCTGTAATGACCACATGCCGCAGGTTGCCCTGCTCATACCCTAAGTCAGGAGGGTTGGTGTCTGCGGAAGCCATGGTGTGTTGAGCATGTACCAAGACGTCTCGTCCCGAGAGGATGGGACTAGCCTATAAGAGTAGTCTGCAGCCCCTGATCAATGCATTCTACTTAGTCGTGAAGTGCAGAAGCGAGATGATCTACTCCGCAGACTGACCGACCGCCATTAATATCATTGTGCGTCGATGAGAGTGGTCATATTCTGAGAGGGGGCAAAGTTACAGACACATCGATAGTACTGCTGCATTGTAGGGACCGGGTTGTTTCGAGATGTAGGATTACGAGCTGAACCAGACTGTAATAGCCTGAAATGGCTTCCCCTCGTTACCAGATCCCAAAAGGGAATTGGTTCGCTGAAGAAAAGACCGCAAACTGCATATGTGACAGGTGTCAAGCCATTTAAACGCAGATCTAGCCGGCTCGCCACTGGTGTGATATATATTTACTTGTGCATTAGATTTATTAACCATCGCTACACTGCAAGGGGGATCAATAGTCTAATCGATAATTGCGAACTCGATGTGGCGTTGAAAATCGACCGGTGGTGTGCAGAATATCCCTGCAGCGGTTGTATATATTAGGGCAATACTCCGCACGGAGCACCGGTCAGAACCTTTTCAGCTACTCTGAACAAGCCCGACTAGACCGCTATTGTTTATAGATCAAAGAAAAAATAATATGTACTGGTATTCAATCGTGTATCAATACACGCCATGCTATCATAGAATACACGTCTCGAGGGTATATCATCAAGATGTCGCTTTTCGACATTCAACATAAACATTCACAATTTCATCACACTTGAATTTAGTCAACCTGGTCCAGCTTCTGCACAACCATGGCGCTAGCAGCACCACCGCCGTTGCAAATAGCGGCGACACCATACTCGCCGGGCTGTAGCTGGTGAAGTAATGTGACCAAAATGCGAGAGCCGGAGCTACCCAGAGCGTGTCCGATGGAGATTGCACCTCCAAGAAGGTTGACCTTGGCATTTTGCAAGCCGAGAATCTAAGATTTTGTTAGTAGCGATACCGATTCATTTGGTTATGTGGTACTAACCTTCTCGTTGGCCTTGATCACAGCGGCAAAGGCCTCGTTGAACTCCCAGACGGAGACCTGGTCCTTGGTAATTCCAGCACGCTCCAGCGCAATGGGGACAGCCTTCGCTGGTGCCACGGGGAAGTCCACGGGGTCGATAGCGGCATCGGCAGTCGAGACAATGCGAGCCAGAGCACGGTTACCCTTACCAAACTCGCGGGCAAGGTCCTTGCTTCCCAGAACCAAAGCCGAGGCACCATCATTCATGGTGGATGCATTACCGGCGGTAACGGTGCCAGTGCCATCCCTGAGGAAGGCCGGCTTCAGGCTCTTCAGTTTATCGGCACGCAAGTTCTCAAACCCTTCGTCACGCGAGACGACCGTGTCACCCTTCCTGCCCTTGACCGTAACAGGCACGATTTCGTCGGCGAATTTGTTCTCGTCCCAAGCCTGCTGAGCACGCTCGTATGAACGGATGGCATACTCATCCTGTTCCTCGCGCGAGACCTCATACTTCTTGGCCGTCTGCTCCGCACAGATACCCATATGGAATTTGTTGTAAACATCCCACAGACCGTCCTTGACCAGACCGTCCTCCAGCTTCAGATCACCAAACGGTGGCAGCTGGCCAGCACGCGGCAGATAGTACGGGACTCGAGACATATTTTCCATTCCTCCTGCAACTTGAGCATCCGCGAGACCAAGCTGGATGTTCTGGGCAGCAAGGGCCACCGCCTTAAGACCCGACGCGCACACCTTGTTAACGGTCATGGATTCGACGGTTGGGGAGAGTCCAGCAAAAATGGAGGCTTGGCGAGCGGGGGCCTGTCCAACAGAGCCTTGAAGAACATTTCCCATGTAGACGTCGGTAATATTTTCGACTGGCAGCTTCGACTTGCCAACGGCAGACTTGATAGCGGCGGCACCTAGTTCGGGGGCGGAGACGGAGGCGAATGATCCATTGAACTGTCCGGATGAGCATCTAGTTAGCAATTTTCTCATATTTAACACAGTAAGGCAGTCCATACGTTAGTAGTAGGCGTCCGTGAGGCACTGAGGATATAAGCATCCTGGATCTCCTTGAGTAACGGGCGTGCACAACTGAATTGCCTCCGAGATGCGGGGATGGCTGTTCTTTGCGCGAAGAGACGGGCTGACAAGCCTGCTGATGTCTGGATAGGCATTTTGGTAGAATAAAAGAAGAGAAGAATAAAATGCTATTATTCGTATAATCGAGGTCAGAGAAGAAGAGAGGAAAGATAATAAGAGCCACCCCTCATAATACTATTCGGATGGCGGAACTAAAGACGCATCTAGCCGGCACCCGCTGAGCCGAGGTTGTTGGAAACCACGTGATTCGTTCCGATCATGTGACTTAATTACTTAAGCTGTGGCGCACCGGCTAAACTTAATTCGAGCAGTTTCTCCATCGGGATTGTTTCTCCAGCTCGGTCTTCATCCAATTGTTCCCCTCCTCCCCGGGCATTCATTTCGGTGTCATCGCTTTTCCCGGTCTTTCTTCTCGATCTTCGCTAAGGTGTTCTTTGTCTATTCGTCTCGAATTGGACACATCTGGCTGCGCTCACTTGCCTCTCGGATATTTATAAACAGGTGTGTTTCGCTCATTGCCATCTCTTGTATCCATCTTGACCTCGTTGCTCATCTCCGATAGCTCCCCGGTCCTCATCAAACCCCGCCGCCATGTCAACATCCGCTCGCAGACGTCTTATGCGCGATTTCAAGGTGCGTACTTGACGAGCGAAACCAGAGAGCTTCACTTGAGCTCTGATTTAATCGTTTTCCTCACTCTGACATCCTACGGCCGCCGAGTTTCCGCCGAGTTTCATAGGCTAACGTCATTTGGCACGACTGCAGCGTATGCAAACCGATCCTCCTGCTGGCGTTTCTGCGTCGCCCGTAGCAGACAATGTCATGACATGGTATGTTTTAATGACGAAGGAGTGCGTGCTTGGAGAATCATGGACTGATCGAGATCTCTGATCATAGGAATGCCGTCATTATCGGTCCTGCTGACACCCCGTTCGAGGATGGTACCTTCCGTCTGGTCATGCATTTCGAAGAACAATACCCGAACAAGCCTCCAGGTGTCAAATTCATTAGCCAGATGTTCCACCCCAATGTATACGGCACGGGTGAACTGTGTTTAGACATTCTCCAAAACCGCTGGAGTCCTACCTATGATGTGGCGGCTATCCTTACTAGCATTCAGAGGTACGTGGGTTTCTTTCTACGCGATCTCTACTGGAATCCTCAACCTCTTCTGTGGTACTAATGTTTGTTTTTCTTTCCTCAGTTTACTGAATGACCCGAATACATCGTCCCCTGCAAACGTGGAAGCGTCGAACCTCTACAAAGACAACCGAAAGGAATACGTCAAACGTGTACGCGAGACCGTCGAGAAGAGCTGGGAAGACTAGCGGGCCGTCTCTTGCAGATGGTACCCGTCTTTCCTGTTTTCCTATTTTCTCTTATTTCCTTGGGTCTATGGGTTTCTTTCTTTCCTTCACCCACGAAGCAGTGCTCTCCGTTTACCCGTCATGAACTTTCTTCGCATAATGACCGAGGCCTTGGTTTATGACGGTATGACTTTCTGAATGTCTATAAGTTTCTCGGGGGATTCGCCGTGTCGGATGGTATGCACAGCGCGGGGTTCAGGCGCCTGGTGAATTGCTTTGGAGTAATATCTACTGGTATGCTTTGTTGCTTTGTAGATAGTTTGCATTTGTGTGATATTTTCTGCTATATATTATGAAATGCATAATGAACTGTATTGTCTTGTCTACTCCGTACTCTTCGCCCTGTAGTGCTGTACTCCGATACTGAAGACTCCGATGCGGGACAGTAATGCCAAGCCTTTTCCTCAACGGTTGCCGTGGATGCCTGGATACCTGACATTGCAGCTGAACACAGGCCATTCCTTCACTAGCCGTCGAGATTCCCGCCAGTTTCTCTACTTACTCTCTTTATCAACTTCTTCCATTCTTTCTTGCTTTTTATTGCTTACCTACAACTCCCCTCTGGCTGTCCGACTAGGGCGTCACCGCCTGTCCCCCTCGCCGCCCACTTTTCTCGGCACGTGAACCCCTGACCCAAAACAGACAGACAAGCCACGACGAGCCTCTCGTCGATCTTGGGACTCTTTTAACACCACTGTTTCGTCTTTCTCTGCGCGTTGCCTGAAGACGGGCCTGAGGATCGTGTTTCCCCTCGAGGGGCTTCTCTCTTTATTGTTTTAAACTCATCACGACCAGAGTATTGGGTCGGAGTCAAGCAATATGTGAGTGCGGGTTCACCGCTCCAATGCGTCTGACTGTGCAGGTGAACTGATATGGTGTGCCTTTCTTCAATGACAGGTCATCTGCACCGAATACCATTAAGGGTATGTCTGTCCTGCCCGTCGCCCGCTCGACGACGATGCTAATCGCGTTTGGTACACACAGTCGTTGCGAGGTTTCGACCGCAGAACAAGGTGGAATTGGGATCGGGAGGACAACCGATTGTGAACTTTGAAAATGAAGACACATGTAGCATCAACGTGAGTTTTCACTTCTCTGGATTACATGTTGGTAGGGTCTATCGTGGGCTAAACTATACCTCCGCTGCAGTCTCATGAGGGGTCGGGTGACTTCACCTTCGACCGCGTGTTCCCCATGGACTCGTTTCAAACGGACATCTTCGAGTACTCCATTCGCCCTACGGTAGACGATATCTTGAACGGTTACAACGGAACGGTGTTTGCCTATGGTCAGACTGGTGCAGGAAAGTCGTACACGATGATGGGTTCGGATATCGAAGACGACACCGGGAAGGGTATCATTCCACGTATCGTCGAGCAGATCTTCGCCAGCATTTTAACGAGCCCGAGTAACATCGAATACACCGTCCGCGTTAGTTACATGGAAATCTACATGGAACGGATTCGCGACTTGTTGGTCCCCCAGAACGACAACCTGCCGGTTCACGAAGAGAAGTCGAGAGGTGTTTATGTCAAGGGACTTGTTGAAGTCTATGTGTCCAGTGTGCAAGAGGTTTATGAGGTTATGCGACGTGGTGGTGCGGCCAGAGCTGTGGCAGCTACCAACATGAATCAGGAGTCTTCGCGGTCCCATTCGATCTTCGTCGTTACCATCACGCAGAAGAACCTCGAGACCGGATCTGCGAAGAGTGGTCAGCTCTTCTTGGTCGATTTGGCGGGTAGTGAAAAAGTTGGCAAGACCGGTGCCAGTGGACAGACGCTTGAGGAGGCGAAGAAGATCAACAAGAGTTTGAGTGCTCTTGGAATGGTCATCAACGCACTGACTGATGGAAAATCGACACATATTCCGTACCGTGACTCCAAACTTACCCGTATTTTACAGGAAAGTTTGGGAGGTAACTCGCGAACAACCTTGATCATTAACTGCTCTCCCAGTAGCTACAACGACGCTGAAACGATTTCGACCCTGCGTTTCGGTGTGCGGGCCAAGTCGATTAAGAACAAGGCGAAGGTGAACGCGGAATTGAGTCCGGCAGAGTTGAAGCAGCTCCTACGGAAAGCACAGACACAAGTAACGAGCTTCGAGAGTTACCTTTCAGCACTGGAGTCCGAAGTCCACGTATGGCGAAGCGGCGATAACCTTCCCAAGGACCGATGGACGCCAGCTCGGAACGAGACCATGGCCATTGCGAAGGCCGAGAAGCCACGGCCTGCTACGCCATCTCGGTTACAAGAGGTTCCTCGCTCCGAAACGCCGCGCCCCGACTCGAGAATGGGAGACCGCTCCAGCACGCCTAGTCTCGTACTGGAAAAGGACGAAAGGGACGAATTTTTGAGACGGGAGAACGAACTTCAGGATCAGATTGCGGAGCGGGAGTCTCATATCGTGAATGTTGAACGGAATCTGCGTGAGGCTCGGGACGAGCTGAAGGGTCTCAAGGAGAACTCCGCCCGCTCGGGTAAGGACAATGACAAGTTGAACAACGAGATCAATGAACTCCGTATGCAGCTGGAGAAGGTGTCTTACGAGGGCAAGGAGGCATCGATCACCATGGACAGCCTTCGCGAGGCCAACGTGGAACTCACGGCGGAATTGGATGATGTCAAGCAGCAACTTCTTGATGTGCGCATGAAGGCTAAGGAGACTACTGCTGCTCTCGATGAGAAGGAGAAGAAGAAGGCGGAGAAGATGGCCAAGATGATGGCTGGTTTCAACCTTGGTGGCGAGGTCTTCTCCGACAACGAGCGCAAGCTTCAGGACCTCATCAACCGCGTGGACTCGCTACACAATGTCAGTGAAGCGGGTGAGACGATCGCACCGGATGACATTCTCGAACTCCGAGCGAGTCTCTTGGAGACCCAGGGCCTCATCCGCCAGGCGGAACTGACCATGAACGACCGGGGTGAGTTGGGCGAGCTGCAGGACAGCCGTAGAGCGGAAGTGGAACGGAAGCTGGCGGAACTCGAGCAGGAGCATGAGAGTCTTCTGGAGCGGAACTTGGGTGAAGGCGATGTGACCGAAATCCGTGAGCGACTAGAGAAACTCCACGTCACTCGCAAGGAGGATGAGGTCCAGGCAGCTGAACAGTTGCGCGATGAAATAACTCGCAAGGATAAGGAACTCAGCAAGTTGCACCAATCGCTGGCGGATTCGCAATCACGGGTTTCTACGAACGGTGCCGCTGGCAAGAACCTACAGCAGCAGATTGCTGAGTTTGACGCCATGAAGAAATCGCTGATGCGTGATTTGCAGAACCGCTGTGAGCGGGTGGTGGAGCTCGAAATCTCGCTGGACGACGCACGTGAGCAGTATAACAACGTGCTGCGGTCGTCGAACAACCGCGCTCAGCAGAAGAAGATGGCGTTCTTGGAGCGCAACCTGGAGCAGCTCACCCACGTGCAGCGGCAACTGGTTGAACAAAACAGTAGTTTGAAGAAGGAGGTTGCGATTGCGGAGCGGAAACTCATTGCTAGAAACGAACGGATTGCCAGCTTGGAGAGCCTGCTCCAGGAGAGCCAGGAGAAGCTTACCCAAGCCAATCACCGGTATGTCTTTGTTTCTATTAATTCTATCGTGACGGGTTATACTAACCATGTCCAGATTCGAGGCGCAATTGACGGCTGTCAAAGAGAGACTGGAGGCTGCGAAGCAGGGCTCGACGAGAGGGCTTCCTACCATGGATGGTAGCGGCGGGTTCAGCTTTTCTGGCTCGAGAATCGCGAAGCCACTCCGTGGCGGAGGAGGATCGGAGAGCAGTACTCCCAACTCGGCTGTCGCAGGAGTCCAATCGCAGGAGACGACGGGAAAGCGCACCAGCTGGTTCTTTGATCGACGATGATCCACGACTATTTTTGTTTTGTTTTCTTTTCTATCCTGCCTCTGTCTAACCCCAATTATTTCAGGTTTCTTCATTTTGGCACCTGAATTTCTAACGGATATCCTGCATGATGTTGATGTTGTCCGCCTTTTTCTTTTGTCAAGTCATGTTGACCGATAACGCTGTCGAACGAAGTCTATTTGTCACTTTTGGCGCTGTTTATATTCCTGTGTATTCTCCTTTTGGTATTACGCCAGCCCTACCTTGTCATGAAGCATGGTTTCATCGATACCCTTGTACATCAAGATAGAACATTGGCAGGTGGTCATGGCGAAGTTGTTCATATTATGTTGAATCTACGTTCTTAAACTTCCTGTTATGGTAGTCAACTACTTCTTCACAGCCCCAGTTTCAGTCTTCACCTCATCACCACCCACCTCTCTCTTCTTCACCTCCTCAACCGGCCCATCCCCGCCTAAAAGCGCCAACAACCCAATCTCCCGCTCAATACTCCTCTTCAACGCCTGATCCGCCGCCGCAACTCCTTGCGCCCCGAAAATCTCATCCATCTCCTCCAACGTCCGGCCCTTGGTCTCGGGGACAAAGAAGAACACATATAAAACGGCGAGAGTCGTGATGCAGCCGAAGAAGATGAAGGTGCCGTAGTCGGAGGCTTTGATGAAGGGGGAGGTGAAAAGGCCGACGGCGAAGTTGTTCAACTTGTTTGGGTTAGATTGCGTTACAACGAACAGGGTAAAAGAATCACTCACCCAGTTACTACTTCCGCCGATACTCACGCCCTTAGCACGCATGCTTAGGGGAAACACTTCCGAGACGATAATCCACGACACAGGCCCTACGCCGCACCGTTAGCACGCCATCACCCCAACCCATCCACAAAAGAGAAAGTAAAACTCACCCCACGAATACGCAAAATTAATAATAAAAATCCACACAAACACAACAGCCGCCCACCCTGCACCAGGATTATTCTCGAAATTCCCCGAATACGACCCGATAATCCCCGCAACGATGAAATGGCATACCGCCATCCCTATTCCGCCGGCGATTAGGATCGTTCGTCGGCCCACGTTGTCGACCCAGAGGACGGCGGGGATGGTGAAGACGAATTCGAATATGCCGGCTATGCCGGTTGCGAGGAGGGACGTTGTGTTTTGGCCTAGGTGGAGGTTTGCGAAAATTTGCGGGCTGCATTCGTTAGTGGTTGAGAAGTATGGAATCGATGGATTGCTCACGCGTAGTAGTTGATTGCTGTTGGGGTTAGCAAATATTCCAATCTGAACACTTGGGTAGGGCCTTACCGTTGATCCCATTAAACTGCTGCGCAAACATAATCAAGCACTACCATCGTCAGCAACCAAATATATACCACAACAGCGTCAACATACAGCAACAGAAGTCCTCTTAAGCAACGACCGATCCGTAACAAGCGACATATAATCCCTCACTCCAATCATAAACCGACTCTTAAACGACCCATCCTGATACTGCGGATACTTCTTCTTCGCCGTCTCAACCTCAAACATCCTCAACGCCTTGATCTCAAGGAACTCAATCCGAACGAGTAAATCGTCGGCTGATGTATCGCGCAGTCGGGCTAGTGTGTGTAGGCATTCTTCCTCGCGGCCGGTGTTCATTAGGTGTCTCGGGGACTGCGGCATGAAGAGCATCATGCCGAAAGCGAGGAGGAGGGCGGGGAGGATTTGGATGCAGACGGGGATTTCCCAGGCTGCGATGGATTGGGTGCTGCCGGTGCCACCGATGTAGTTTGTGCCGTAGCCGATCTGGCTCGATGTTAGGTGTATGTTTCTTGTTGGTGTTAGGGGTGCTTACCCAGAAGCTGGTCATGATGCCAAAGGTGATGGCGAGTTGCTGGACGGCAACTAGCGAGCCGCGAATTTCAGGAGGTGCCTGGATCAGTGAGCAATTGCCAGATAAGCGTGAGATTAGGGACATACCAGCTCTGCATTATACAACGGCACAATCATACTCAGATTACCAACTCCCAAACCAGTCACGAATCGACCGGCATACACATAGTCGGGGTTCATAGTGCATGCCTGCACGATAACACCCACACAGAAGATAACCACAGCGACGACGACCGTAACGCGCCGTCCGAGAGCATCGGCCAGGTATCCGTTTAATAGTGTACCAACCCACGCTCCCAGTTCGAGAATCGATGTAAGCATGCCTTGGCCGGTGCCAGGTTCCGCAGCGTATCCTTGTGTCTGTTCATGTTAGAAAGCACTTCCGACATATATAGGCATACGTACAGCTTTGATGAAAGAGCTCATGGTTAAGATCTGCGCGAACATTCCCTGGTTGTCTGCATCGGTTAGCCCTGACACCGACCCATAATAGATGTAGACGTCACGTACACCCATAAACCAATCCTCCCAACGAAGCAAACAGCGCAATTCCGAATGTCTTTTTGCTGCTAACCAAACCACGCCATCCAACTTTGTTTCCGGCCAATTCGGCCCGTCTGGCTGAGACGCCAACGGCTTCGACAGGGGCGCCCATGTTGTCCGAAATTGAAGTATTCAGTCACCTGTCAGTCACCTGCCAAAAAAAAAAAAAAAACATTCGAGGGAGCATGTCATTTATATTATGCGCCATATACGCCATACTACGGCGTATATGCACCCCATATCTACCCAGTATAACCGTTGACTTTAACCGGACCAACCCCGGATTGCGCCCCGTGGGGTGCGGAGAGAATATCACCCGGGGTTTTTCCAGCGGACTGGGCCGTGTTGGAGCGGGGATAGACTGGTAGATTTAGCCGTGTCGTATGATAGAGTCGCTATGGTTGTTTGTATGGGTTAATTCAATATAAAGAGACTCGGCTCGTATTGTGCCGGTGTCGGACACGGACATAAACACTATACCAAGGATTAATTGAAGGATTCTTCCGGGTCAGACGGCATTTGTGACGGTCTCGAGCAATATGAATCTATTGGTAGACTATCTGACGAAATTCTAACATGAGGGGAGAAAGGAAAGAGGCAGGCCTGCCGGCGACGAGCTATCTGGTGTGTGAGGGGTTTAGGCGATGCTCAGTGAATGTCCTACGCAAAACAGGCCAAAGTAATCAAACATACTATGCAGTTAGCGAGTGTCCATGCTCCGTGACAGCATTGAAGCTTATTAAATGTTTGAATGAATGGTCACATGAATAGAATATATGAATGAGTATGGAAGGAGAAAGATAATAACGACAGTTGCTGCTATATTCGTACACGGACTCAACCCCTATAGTACCCTACACACGCTCACCTAAACCCCCCATGCAAATCTCGTTTAGACGCCGCCCCCGAACCGGATCCCGACTTAGTCGGCGTAATCAGGCTAGTAGCGTTCCGAATCAAGGCCGTCACTCTGGAAATTTCCGCCAGACTGATGACCTTCTCAGGCCTCGACCAGCCAAGCTCAGCGGGCAAACGTTCGTTTTCTACATACAATCAGCACCATATCAACCCTCACGCAGGAATAAAGATATATCTAGGAGAAGGAAGCTTACCAAAGAAATACTCCACCAACGACCGATTCACCCTCCCAGCCTGAATATCCCCAAACGCAATAACCGGCGCCGCAACCTCGCCCAGACTAAACTCCTCCATCGAAGAGGTAAACGTGTAGTTTGGGTTCGACGCGCGCGACTGAATCTGCCGCGCTAACTTGCCGTTGGCGAGCATCGCCGCGTCGAGAATGGGCTGCGTCCAGTAGGCTTTTGTTTTGGCGAAGATGGTGGAGTTGAAGATGTGGTTGTTGCCGTTGTAGGCGTCGGCGCGGCTCATGCTGGCGTCGTGCTCGAGGACATTGTGCCGGTTTAGGTTGTCCCTACTTTGTCAGTACCTCCTTCATACATAAACAGGAGAGCGTGGACATACAGAGTGAAGTAAGTAGCGTTCGGCTCCGGATTCGCAACCAGCGCCATATCGAACATCAAACTTCCCAAAGTAGCGTTGAAGTTCAACCCCTCGGACAAACCCTTGACAACGACTTCACGGGTGAGGTTGCGGCCATCGTGTGGGAGGAAGCCATGATTGGATAGTGTGTTTAGCATAGGGCATGGGCCGCGGACTGTAGTCTGTTAGCTCATTTCATTCCAGATATACAGGGTATGAAAGGACGTACAGTCACCATGACCAGCAGGCTTCCAGTTATCCAGCGAAGCCACACCAAAATGAGGGCTTGCTGTTGCCAGGGCGGCGGACAGAATAGTAGAAGCGATAGAGATCTTCATATTTGCTGTATGTACTGCTTTGAAATCAAAAAAAGAATAGCCATCCACCCGGACACCCCGGGGTATTTATCTTCGCCATTTCGAATCTTTTACTATATCTGGTAGGTATCCAATTTTCCAGCATGGAGACTCCCATAATAAGAGTAGCAAACCATATCTTTTTCGTTTCATATCGTTACGTACATGGACTGTGGCTAGCAATCGCGGGTCTTCGTACTCGAACTTGTTACCCGATTAGGAAACGGTCAGGCTTCGTACCCGTTCGTATTCATTGCCGCTTTGAGACGATTGGGGATAGCGAGATAGGCTCCAACGTTGGTGCAGAAATATATCTATTTTTAAAATTGCAGGGCCAGAAGTACGTTTGGGTGAGTTTCTACAGTAGGAGATAAGATACACATGAAGCAATTATCATAACATTAAGAATTACCTACATATCACCAAGCAAACCACTCCAACTCTGCACCAACTACGGGACACAAACATGATATATACAATAATCAAGCATCGTCCTTGATCAAATCCGCCGCTCGTTCCGCAATCGCATACAATGTACTAGTCAAATGCCCACACATCTGGAACGGCAGCACCGACGCATCAACAATACGCACGTTGGAAGTACCATGCACAATCAACTGGTCACTCACGACGCCGCCCATCGAGCGCGGCATCATGGCTGCTGTGCCGACGGGGTGGAAATTTGAGCGGTCTGGACGTGGTTAGCATCGGCTTGGGTTAAGGTGGGCTTGGGGGCATACAGTTGTGCTTGGTGTATTCTTCCCAGTCTGTGTCCGTTGCGTTCTGGGGAACCTCTGGTCCGGGGGCGCGTTCCATTTTGATCATGTCGCTGAGTGGAGCGGTTTGGTACATGTTACGGATGAACTTGGTGACTCTGATGTGGGCTTGCAAATCCCAGTCGATCATGAAGTAGTTCGGGTTGATAACCGGATTTTCGGCGGGGTCTGCGGAGTTGATGTGCACGTTACCCCGGGAGAATGGCAGGAGAGTCCAATACTCGGTGATCAACATCGGGCTGTGGGTCGGGATGAATAGGATCTCGACCATTGGGACAGCGTCTGAGAAGAGCAGGTCGTATTGGATCTGGAAGAAACTGGCGAGGTCTTCTTGCTTTACGACACCGCCGGTTGCTTCGGATGTTTGCGCGGCGTAGTCTCCCAGCTTCTGGATCACAGATGCGGCCACTGCCTGAGCGTCGTCTCCGAAGATGTCGTAGAACGAGGCGTACGCGAGGGCCTTGACGCCGGTCCATTTGCCGTTTCCGAGGGCCATTGTGTTGGCGTTGGTTTGGTCTTGCAGGTTCTCTCCGACGGTGGGAAGGTCGACGCGGACGCTAATGTTGTGCTTCTCAAGAATACTACCGGGATTAGACTTGCCAGGCCATCGCAGGAAAGAACTTACTCTTTGTTCCCGACGCCAGACAGTTCCAGTAGAGCAGGAGTTCTAATCGACCCCGCTGAAAGGATAACTTCTCTCCTAGCGCTCACAACGCTGGTTATACCGTCCGACAGAATCTCAACACCAGACGCTGAAACACCACCAGTCGCGTTGTCATCGTTCCAGAGAATCTTGTTCGCCCGCGCCTTCGTCATCACGATCAGGTTTGGCCTGCCTCTGTACGGCCAGTAGTACGCCCTCGCAGCATCCTCACGGACACCAAGCTCATGGTTGATAGTCTCGAGGAAGACGTTGAATCCGCGCATATGGCCGTCGTTGACATCTTCAACCCATGGAATACCCAGTTTATCGTACGTCTGGTTCAGCGGCGTGGTCAGGTTGCCCTCTTGCATATCGTTGAAACCCACGTGCAGCGGGCCATCGTAGCCATGGACGGATTCGTTGTAGGATGCTCCGGCGGCGATTTCAGCAGGTGAGGGGCGGGTAAGCTGTTCGCTTTTCCGGTAGTAAGGCAGCAGGCTGGCCCAGGACCAGCCTCTGTTGCCGAGTTCTTTCCAGGCGTCGATTTGGACATCTTGTGCGCGGGTGTAGGACATCCCTATGGGGTGTTAGTAATGAGTGTTACACTTCAACGGTTTTTTTTTTTTTTTTTTTTTTTTTTTTTTTTTTACCATTGATAGTACTTGTCCCTCCCAAGGCCTTGCCGGCTCGCAGTACCTGTTTTGAGTTGCCGCCATACGTCTGATTCACGGACTCATATTGATAATCGATCTCTGTTCCAAATGCCTTTCCATATCCATTTGCCGCAGTGACGTTCTCGTTATTGTGGACCGAGTGTCCCGCCTCGATCACCACGACAGACACATTGGGGTCTTCGGAGAGTCGGTTTGCGACAACTAGACCACTGGTGCCACCTCCCACAACCACGTAATCGTACAACGGCCCTGTGGCGACAGTGGCAGACGCGAAGAAGGCGCACGCAAGCTTGAATCGTGCTATCATGGCGGGTCAAGATGATGCTGTTGAGCAAAACGGGTTCTGCAGACCGGGAGGGGGAGTGACGGCTTGTATACTGTCAAGCATTCCCAAGCCTCACACTCCATCGTAGTACAAACAACGCATGCGTGTTCGGCAGAGACAGATGCCCGATCTAAAAAGGGATAGAGTATTAAGGGGTACCGGCCAGTCGGATTATTATCTCTGCAGGTCCACCGAGATGGTGTCTGGCGATGCGTGGAATGCGGGTGTTGCTGGGCACACCAGGGTCATTCTAGAGTTGGAATGGCATGCCATATCAAGCCACTTGAGCTTAAAGCTGAATTCGTTGATCTTTGAAATACTTTCCTAGTTACACAAAGGGAACTCCGCGCTTCGTTCTTGTTGCTAAGTTTTGTGTGCCTGTCCAAATATACGCGAAGATTAGGTGCAAAATAGCAATGCCTACTTTCAGTCAATGCGAGAAATGTATGCGAGTTGTATATACAAAGCTGTATATGGAGTTGTTATCTTGATCGATTTAATGCGACGCAGGGGGTTTTTGTCCATAGGCAAACCACCTGCAGGATGTCAGCTTGCTTCCGAAAACAACAAAAGAAGAACATACACATAATGATGGGCCAACAATTTGTTGTTCTTCACAGCCGACCGCATTGACGCGGCAAATACCTCCAATTGCACGCGAGACCACTGCAAGCTGATCAGCAAAGTTTCTATCGATAGCGCTATGCTGACGTACCCCTAGGTTGTTGGTAAGGCGACGTCCGCAGAAGTCCACGACGCCCTGTTCGATACGAACTTGGTTAAAGGCGCCGATTTCGCGTTGGTGCGGATCTTTGGGCCACGTCCCGATCGGCCACGGAACTCTGTATTCAGTCACGTTGATAAATCCAGCCTCCTCGAGCCAGTCTTTCATGTGCGGGGCCGAGTCAAAGTCCAAACCAGCCTTTTTCCCGGAATCGAGGAGTAGAGGGTTCCATTGGTGGTAAACATGGTCGGGACCGAGCGTGTCGAAGCTAGAGGTCAACAAAATCTGAGGATCGGCTTGTTGGAACCAGCCACCCGGTTTGAGGGCGCTGTGTTTGTGAGTATGCGGCGTGCTCTGGTATGTACAGGTAAACTTACCCCAGTACTTTGCGGTACATCTCCGGCCAGCTGGGAACCGTACCCAGCAGCTCGCGAGCGTGGATAAGGTCAAATTTGTTGTGGTCAAGCCATTCAAGGTTATAGTCGTCGACTTCGAATTTCAGGTTCGGAGGGATCCAGGAAGGCTGGATGGGGGAGAGATCGATGCCTTTGATGGTGGCTTCGGGGTGAGCATCGGCCACGTCCCTTTTCGGTCAATATAAGTTTGTGTTATGCGCGGTGAACGGTAACACACATGGCCCAAATTCCGGTGCCGGTTCCCATATCCAAGACGTCCTGGAGATGGTCGATCGGAGGGAGATAGAGTTTTCCGTTGAGACTGAGAGTCCAGAGGTGGTGACTACCTTGTTAGTTATATTCGGGATATCTTGGTAAAGGCAAATACCTCAAGTCCTGCTGCTCCTGAGCCTGTTCATCGTTGGGACCCCAGTGCTCGGTGATTCCTTATCTGTCAGCCGGGCCGAAGTGCGACAGAGAATGAGGAATAAAAATACCGTAGGCATGATAGCGACGACCATTCTCTTCGCGGTACCTGGTCACTGAAGAACTGAGCGAGGTGCTGTCCGAGTAGAGAGACTCGGAATCCAAGCCCGAGTCGCTGGCATCGTCGTCGTCGCCGTCGTCAGGCTCGTCGTCGGTGACTTCGGGCGAGATCCGGGGTTCGGGGACCTGCCAAGTCAGAGTTTAACGTGAGTTATGTGACAGCGGGAGGGGTGCATATATACCTGCGTGTTAGGGAGGGCGTCTCTATTATGCTCAGTCATTTCAATTGATAGTACCAAGTATAGAAGTGGATATGGAAGGAGAGCTTATAGTGAAGAGAGAAGAGAAAAGGAGGGAGAATCTGCAGTGACATCGCAGATCGAAACGGCCTTTACTCAATGGGGAAAAGCCTGCAGAATCCCGTGAAACCGGTATTTTTCGCGGGTTTTTCTGCTTCTTTTTGGCTTCTTCTCCGTCGCGTATAAATTAACTGCAGTCGGAATAGTTTTCCATCGTTGGTGACAGATATCATATAATGGATCGGGTTCTCATTGTGGGCGCTGGTATGTCCACTATACTTGGAGTACGGAGAGATACTAACTACTGACCAGGCGCTGCTGGACTCCTCATTGCGCAGGTTCTCAAGCGAGTACATATGGCTACCCCAGAATCCAGAATTCCTGCAGAACTATGGAGTAACAGTATATAGGAAAACATCCCCTGCACCATCTTCGAACAAGACCCTTCCTTCCGACCGCGCGACTGGAACTACGGTGTCTACTGGGCGCAGTCCGGTCTATCCGAATGTCTCCCCCCTGAATTGCTCGATCAGCTTGAGGATTGCCAGGTGGACAATCACACCCCTGCTGCGACGGATACCTTGCCCGGCTACAATGGCAAGACTGGGGAGAAGCTAGTTGATGTCCCGGCGCCGTATAGTTTGCGTCTCAAGCGGCGCAAGTTCCTGCAGCTCATCTCCACTGGTTTGGATATTCAGGTATGCGACCATATGAACCATTGGAGTGTGCGTATGCATATACTGACCCACGCAGCGCGGAAAACGTCTGGCCAGAATCGAATCAAACAACGACATCGTCACCGCATTCTTCGAAGATGGCTCCCAAGCGACCGGTAAACTACTGATCGGGGCTGAAGGTGCCCATTCGCGAGTCCGGGAGTACCTCATGGGTCCTGAAAAGTCAGCTCTCAAACCATCCCCTGTTGTATCGTCGATCGCGACCCCTCGACTTCCCGTTGATGTCGCAAGTGCCGTGCGCAAATTGCATCCTCGGTACTGCGCCGTGTTCCACCCGGACGGTTACTTTTGCTGGGTCGGAAGTATGTATCTGTACCACGGGAACCTGCGCCATAAGTTCATGCTGATTGTGTTTAGTTCATAACGAAACCGAAGACCCTGCTGAATCCGAGTTCCTGCTGCTGATGTCGTGGATCTCGGAGAATGATACTGGTTTGTCAGGCGAGGGTATCCTGCACGACCTCAAGGAAAAGGCCAGTCACTTTGCTGAGCCGTTTCGATCTGTCTTTGAGACTCTTGGCCCCGGTACCAAGATCTGGCACAGTCGCCTCTCGTATTGGGAGACACAGCCGTGGGATAACCACAACGGTACTCTCACGCTGGTCGGTGATGCTGCTCATCCCATGACTTTCCGTAAGTCCTCTTTCCGTGAGACATGATGAACGGGTACTGACTGGACAGACCGCGGCCAAGGACTCAACAATGCCATCCTCGACGCCGCCTCCCTCAGCCGCGAAATCGCCAAACTCCAAGATAAATCCCCCGGTGCCCTCCGACCGGCACTCGAGGCCTATGAAAAAGAAGTCCTAGTCAGAGGACGCGAAGTTGTCGAGTCGTCCAACCTGAACAGCGTCTCCATTCATAACTGGGGGGATCTGCAGAACTCGCCTCTGTTCAAGATGGGTTTGAAGAAAGATGCTACGGCGTAGATTAGTGTATACCCTTGCTTTTCTTTTGTTTCAACGCACAATACCCATCTTGTTTCGTTTAATCCAATTGTGTAAATAAGAAAGAGTACATAGTCAACTATCCCCAGAAATGTCACAGTATTGCAATATCACTGTCGTTCAAAATCGCCATCAATCATCCACCTCCATGGCATCGCTATCATTATCCTCATCGCTAGATCCGCTTTCATCAGATCCAATCTCAGATAGACTCTCAGATCCACTCTCGGACTCGCTCTCGCCATGACCATCATTCGTAATCCTAGCAAAGAAAGGATGATCGTTGCGCAACGGTCGTCCCTGACTGACATATCCCATCGGTGTCTGTCCAAAGTCCTGTCCAGTTCGTGTAGCCGCAAGCCACTCCTCCAAAAATCCAGTTACATTTTTACAAAATGCTCGTCCCTGCCAACCGAGTTCCTTGCTCGAGGCCGAAACGTGGGCTTTTACGACGTCCGAAACACCGGACAACGGAACACGCATGCCCATATATGCCATGATGCCCGCGTAATCGTCATATTCAAAGTACAGCCGTCCTGCTAGTAGACCGATCTCGATGATGACCTGCGTAGGAAGTGACTGTTTGAGTGTCGGGACGGTGTAGTACCGCATCTCGCTAAATTTCATCATCTGCCTGGTTATAGGCGGTGCATAGGTAATTAGATGGGTTTTGGGCAATTTGATGGTTTGAAGGATCGGGAGGACTGCTTCTGCTTCTTCGGGGATGACGACCATTGCCCTTTGTGCGCTGGGACACCAGAGAATCCAATGTAGCGGTCGCTATCAGAGTTAGCCAACCCATCACCATATTTCGATACGGCAGTCAACATACCAAGAAGTCATCACGCCACGAGGATGATCCCTTTGCCCACTTGATCGTCCGCGTAAACTCGCGAGAAACCAATACAAGGGTTGGTCGCGTAGTACGAATGCAGCACTTCTGCCCAGTCCTAGTCCGCGCCAAAGCCGCGTACATCGTCTCATACCATCCCTCTCCTTTCAATCTACCGGTTCTTGCAAAATCCAGCAGCTCCTGACACGGGCCTTCGAACTTCTCCGCTTCGAAGCGTGGCGGTTGTTGTTTTTCTCGTATCTGCTCTACTTCGAAGACGACTTCACGTTCTTGCTCTACCTCTTCGAAGGCGGAGGATGGGTGGGAATTCAGACCGCCGGCTATGCGGTTCTCTTACTGTCGAGCCAGTTCGTTCCAGTACGCCCGCAGCTCTTCGCAACCGGTAAACGAAGGTCGAGTCGTTTCGTTTTCCAATGTTGGATGGTAAAGCTGTTTCAACGTCTGTTTCTCATGTTGTAGGACAGCTTGTAGGTACTTAGATCGATGATCCTTCGAATTGAAAAACTGCGAATACGACCTGGCAGCTAGCTGTCGGGTGCAGAAATCGAATCCCTGAGCAAGGTACAGGTGCTGGATTTGTTCATTCGTGCGACAGGTCTGTTCAAGCAGCCAGTCGATGACATCCGTGACTTCAACAGTATCATTGTCCTCCTTCCGACGGTGGTCGAGGATACTGCGGTGCGCTTCCGGTGAGGCAACGAAAACAATTGATTGCGATGTGCCCAGTTGACGGAGTCTCATAGCAGCTAATGCACGTCAGCTAATACCGACCTGTGAGTATTATACTAGGATACAGGCATACCTTGGACGGTGTGATCTTTTGTCTGACCCAAACTCAAGGTAAGGGCACCACGGGCCGTAACTGGAAATTTCAAATCCGTACCACGAGTATGCGCCTCATCCATGTAGACAAGGCAGTCTTTCAAATCGTCCACAAAAGGGGAAGCCAGAAGAGATACCTCCTTACCATTTCGGTAGAAGACAGAAGGCCGATTGTGATTGAAATACACCGCAGCAGGAGCTTCTTGGTCGATGTCGAGCCATGCGCGTACCAGGTCTTTATTGTCAAATTCCAAAATATGCGCACCCGCATCAATCAACAATCGAATTCCCATTTCCTTCAACTTGGCAAGAAGCTGCATCTCGGAAATGTGATTTCCTTCATTGTTAATCGCCGCAACGTAGTTACGGTTTCTCTCTTGTAGCAAGTACGTGAGAACTTCGGCATTCGTGTGCGCAAGCCCGGGGAGATCATCCTGCTGGATTGTCAAAGGGAGCATCTGTCGATTATCGTTCGTGCCGCTAAAACCAGTGGTCAATGAGCCCTCCGATGCTATACTGTTAGTGGTGAAAATTGGAATATCCCATCCAGACATCTGCAGCTTGTACTTGAATTGCTTCGCATGGACTGGGAAGACGAAGTGACACAAGTAATAATTGATGACCTCAACCTGGTACCGCAAGTGGCTCCAGATCTCTGCGATTTGAACACCATCATCGAAATTGATCAAATTCCACTTGCGTAGTCGATCAGGTAGGTCAACCGCCTGCTCCGTCCAACGATTGTAATCACTAGAGGGATCATCCGACCGCAAAAGACACACCAATCCTTGACGGAGCTGTGCAATAGTCAGACCATTGTGGTAGAAAGCCAAGCAGGTAAGCATGATAGCCACGTCTGGATGACCCCATTCGGCTTGGTCTGACGGGACGCCTTTCGCGTGGAAGGGAACTGCAATCGGATCTCGTCCCGGATGAAGGCCATACTGAACATTCCAGCGCTTTTGCAAGCATAAAAGTAGAATCCCGTGAACCAAAAGACCCCGGAGCAAGTAAAGTACTTGCATCTCACGGCTGGTAGGGCCCAATCTGTTCACTATTTCCTCTATGACCGACTCGAGGACGTTCTCCTCCAGCAAAAACTCCTTCATTTCAGGCAGGTCATAAAGAGGCAGAATGTTCGTGCGCCCTTCACAGATGTCGTCAACCAAGTGCGTTCGAAGAGCCTTTTCAACATCCGGTCGCGGAAAATACACCAATGGGAAACCACCACTTGTTCGTCGAACGACCTTGATACTCTGAGGATAAGTCTCTTGAAGGCTGTCCAAGTGCGTATCCACCACAGCGAGAAGAAGCTGGGTCACTCTCCATCGATGGGGATGTCCGTCCACTACAAACTGCGGTCCACTCGGGTAGATGAGCTGGGTTCTAACGGCCAAGGTGAAGTCGCATTCGTCAATAACGTCGCGAGACACTTCATCTAACCAAGATTGCATCTTGATCATGCTGCTTGCAGACTCATCCTTGCCATCATATAGCGCCTGGATCCCACTGAGGCGGAAAGATAATACATGTTCAGGGAGAGTGAGGATGACACCAGACTCGTTACGGATTCTCTTGTGGAGGTTCCAGTAGTTCTCAATGCCCACCCGTGTGGTAGGTGTTTTTCGCGAAAAATGAACATGGCATATCTCACGACCAACCAGCCCTCCAAGGCGGGATTGGAGAACCTGCGCAGTCTGCAGTAAAAGAGCCCTCGGAACAATCAGCCGCGAAAGAGACTTCTTATTCGCTAGGGCACAGGCGACCATAGGCAAGATGACGGATGTTTTTCCTGTTGCGAAATTAGTATGAGCGATGTTGAGCCGTGCTTGTCTGTACTTACCCTGACCCATGTTCATCTGGAGCACAGAATTAGCACCAGACGCCGGCGCAATTGTCGCATGCGCGACTTCCACCTGCTGCTCTCGAATGAGGAAGTTTGAGTCGATCTCCAAAAGCAACCAGTCAGGATTATCATCCACTTCCCAATTCTCATGTCCCGATGTGGCCAGCTCTTCGCCAAGTCTTTTATTGTCGTTCTTCGTCAGCGCGTCGTAAATTCGCAAGAGATGCTGCAGTCTAGTAATGCATAGCCCATATGCATCGATGGCCTGCCGCATATCACTGCCGAACTTGATTGGTTGCGTTGACCTAAGGTTCTCGAGGAGAGTGACTGGGTTTAGGCATGGGTAAAGGAAGCCGGCATTCAACCATCTGTATCGACCGTCGTCTGCCGTCATACTATCGCAGATGGTCTGAAACAACGATTCCACAATCTTCTGGGTTTTTTTAATTCCCTCGCTCACGTCGCTGAGAGCTGGGACAAGGTGAGATACAGAAGGTCCGACTTGACGCTCCACGAGTACCTCAAGGCTCGTCATGAGACCCTCGCCATACTGTTTCCGAAGGGCATTGGTCGAGTAATTCATGTCATCAATGATAGTCCTGAGTTCCTGTAGCTCTGAAGAAAGACGCTTCTTCTCTGATTCTTCACTCCTGCTATCGGGACTTGCAATAATCGACATGACGGCCGCACCAGCTTGAAACGTCATTGACTGTTGGAAAAATCGATTTGGACCCTTTCTGTTAATCAGATGCTTTAGTAATGATGGCACAACAGGGCCGCGCGAAGGTCGACTATGGTAAATAGTCGTCTCGAGGGTCCCTGGCGGTCTCACAAAAGGCTCAGTTTCTTGGTGACGATCGAATGCTCTTTGCACTTTGTCAAGATGGTTGGCAAATTCGCGATTATACAAGCGCCGTCGCCATGTGTCTAAAATAGCTTGCATAGCCATGGCCTTATTGACAAGTTTCAATCTGACATCGTTGATGGATGGCATTCCAGCTGGCCACTGAAAAAGGAGCGTGTTCGCGACTTTTTCACACTCCCTCTGGCACTGGTCATTATGCTGTTTCTCCAAAGTATCCTGCTGCTCAGCTGTAGACCCTGTGGGACACTGATTGGGGTTGAATGGTGTGCAATAGGGCTCAACGAGCTTCTTAAGGTCGGCGAGCTCTGGCTTCTGGTACATTCCGAAACTCACATACTCATTGTGCTTCGGCAGCGACAGCCCGTTCAATTCCCCCAGAAGAAAGAAGGCGAGAGCTGATCGAAGGATTTCCATATTCACATTTCTGGAAAATGCTACAGTCGCCATCCGGAAAAGGAAATCGTCACGGCGGTCTGGCCGTCGGCTTGAACGGCACAGCATAGTCAATGGTCCCCATTCCACACCGACATTTAGTTCCAGAAGATCGGTGATCCCATTCCCAGTAAGAGGGGTGTTGTAACCGCGCACGTAAGGTAGTTTTTCCAGCAAGTCCTTCAGGTTTGAGGGCGCACGAGCTCGAGAAGGACGTGTGTTGATGAGTAGGGCAATTTCGTAAACCCGGTTAGTCTCCGTTGAACTGAGCCATCCATGCCGCGCCTCGTAGAAATGATCAATTGCAGAATCCAGATCATTCTCAAAAAGTTTCAGTCTCTCATACTGCTGGCGATGGGCATGGCTTCTCTGGCGCAGATGCAAGACATCTTCGCTGTCAAGTTCTGGCACCTGTATACGCGGTACAGTGAACGATGCGAGATGCTTGATACGATGTAGAATACGCTCGACCACCGTCCGGTAAGCATCGTGCTGAATCGTCGTGGTCAGCTGCTTGTTCCATCTCACGGTCTGTTGCCTCTTTAGCTGGGGCGGGTAATAGACACGTCGTGGAGTTAGTCGAGCTATTTCAATCAAGCGCTGAAATGGTAGCTTCTCCGAGACCATCCAAGGTTGCATCCCAGCAGATGAAAGACATGTCAGGGCCTCCTCAGTCCCGGTTCTTCCTGTCAATGTGTCTGGCAAGGGGAATGAAGTGTATGCGTGGAGTTGGGCCTTCAAGAGCAACAGTTGGGGATCGGGTGCACACTGCAAGCGTCCCAGAACACTGTTGATCGAATATTGACCGTAGCACCTGTTGTTCAAAATCCGAATTGCTACATGATGACCCTTGAGCTCGTATCGCACCGACCCCATGGGAATCATCACGCTCCGCTGATGCTGGTTCCGGACGTCTCGAAGCACGAGCATGCTTTGCAGTCCGTACCAAGTACCCGCATCCTGGTCAGTATCAATCATGCATCTCAGTTGTTTTGATTCCAGTGATCCCCGTTCGTTTACGCAGAATTCGAGGTCCATCCGTTTGAGTTCGACGGTCAGGTTCGCTTCCGATGGTTGATACACTGTGATCTGTCCTGGATTTTCGAACTGTTCAAACACCTTGGTAACTTTGTGACACAGTTCACTGAGAGGGTTGACCAGAGATACGTCTTGTCGATACCCTCTTCGAGCTGGGAAGTCCAGAATCCAGTTATCCAGACTCCCGAGGCCCCATTTTCGCGACCGATTGCGAAACTCCAGGTGACCATTGTCCAGATCGAGCCAATGTACATAGCCCTCAATCAACGTACCAGGAAGATCGGTTTCGACATCATTGCGAAAGATTGACCTTTCCACAAACTCCAGGAGCGCTTGATGGATGCGAGCTCGAACCACAACCTTGCCGTCTATACGTCCAGCATGAACCTGATGACCTTCTCTGAGATGAGCGATGGCGTATGTCATCCCAGGCATTGCGGACGGGTATGCCGACAGGACCTGATTGTGAAAGAGTTCCTGGATGACCGGAGACTCCTGGATATCTCTTGGGAGTCGACCAATGGGTTGATAATCTATGAGCAAATGACCCTCCAGGAGATGGAAATGAACTCGTTGCCTCGGCATGTACGCAGTTTCCCTGGTCTCAGAGGTCAACCACCAAATGTCAGATGACAAGAAACTCCATTGTCCGTAAGACCTCTGATTCCCCGCAGCTTCCGGCCAGATACTGTCAATGGCAGCTACTACACCCTGGGTACATTGCTCAACGGACTGTCATAGTTCGTCCTTGAAGCTGACGGTCATCGCCAGATCACGGATGAGCATGCCCTTGAGGAGTGTGGACAGGTTGGACGGGTTCGTGTAGAGATTTTCCTGTACGGCAATTGAAGCTTCAATGAAACAGCTGAGAGAGTCTTCGTCGAAGGTGGACTGTTTGGTTTTGGTATCCGAAAAGAAAGTCCTCTTGCAAATCAAAGCGCTGGCTAAAGCGTAGCTCATAGCATGTCGGGCATGATCGCTATCTCGAGCATGACGAACCTCTTGTCGAAGTACACGAATCCACTCCAGTGAAATCCGTCGAATTTTTTCAAGTACACGCAAAGTTCCTCGGGCAGAGCGGCGAGATCCCAATGTGCAGACACGAAGGACGAGAATTAGCAAAGTACTCATATAATGAGTCTCGCGCCAATTAGGAGAAACCGCTTCGAGATGGCATCTGATTTGGTCCAACATTTGTGTGCAAAATCCGTCGTCTTCGAAAGGCACATGAATCAGACGCAGCTTATCACGGGGCTGCTTTGCCATCGGTCCAGCCTGATGACACAAAAAAGAATACACATGCATCGTCTCCTCGAGGCTGAAGTTGAGATTCGCGGACCCCAGCTCCCTTAGCATGCACAACCATCGGGACTCCCTAGTGGACAAAAGACTCTTATATGCAGTTGCTTGGTGGACAGTCAATTTCGGGGGGCAGCAGGACTGGCTGACGATAATCTCGTGCGAGGAAGGTCCGCGAGCATCAGCCGCAAACTCCGGGGAATCTTTGATGTTCAGTAAGTTCAAGGCAGACTCGTTCAGCGCAAACAGATGAGCAATCGTGGCTGGAAATTGCATTCGGTGTGCCCATCGATTCTCTTTCGCATCATGATACGAAAACCTGAGACCAAATGGATAAACGACCTGTTTCTCAGAGGCAGGGGGGCGAACACCCTTGTAGTGCGTTACAAGGAAAGATTTGGTATCAGAAGCCAGTCCAAACCACTTTGTGTAAATGCGGTCATTCTTGCGGTATTCCCGTAATTGACCATAGTCGGCGAGATGCATCTTTGGGGGGTGGGAATTATCCGCCTCAGCCCGGGGGCATGATAGAATGCTGAGAAGCCTCCACGTTGTCTCCCGATAAACATGGAGCTTTTCCGGTATAGTCAGTTCGAACAGTATGGCCTGTAGCTGGATTTCGTTGGAAGGTAGGAAATCCTCGTGCACGCCCAGCTGAAGGCTTTTGCGTTCGCTCTTCAAGCGACAGTGATCGCATTTCGAGTATCCTCTTCTACCGCCTATACACGAGCAAGTCATTTGGGATATTTGATGGCAAAGGTTTTCGTGTCGTGTATTCACCGACCTCATTTGCCGTAGCTTTTCTTCCTTGGACTTTTCTGATTCGTCAGTAATCTTGTCTTCCAGTTCTTCCAGTTGAGCAGAAACAGCACTTAGCTGGCAGTATTGGCTGGGAAAGGCATTCTTCTCTGGGTCCGAAAAGATGGAGAGGGATGAGAATCGACCTTTGCGTCTTTCATCCAGGTATTCCTGTAGCTTTTGCAAGCGCTTCATGTCTCTCAATCGGGGCAGCTGAAGGACATCCAATGCCCCTGGAAGAAATCCCGGATGGTAATCTTTCAGCAAAGGAAACTTGACGACTGCACACGCATCCATGACTTTCCACGCTTCAAAGACCAACAGTACCGTCAGACTCTTTTGCTCGACACTGCAATTGTAGGCATTGATTGCCAGTTCCAAATAGGGTACGATCAATCTAGCCAGTCGATAACATTTGCATCCGTTGTTCGATGACTTGATCAATTTCGCAAGCTCTTCTTCCATTGAAAAAAGCTTATAGTAAGGCGCAAGAAATTGTTCGAAGCCCTTCACAGGAATCTTCTCCGATCCGTTCGCTGTCGGCTTTGCTGCTGCTTGGGTTTGGCGAGAACGGTTAAGTGCATGCTGGAGAACTTGGGAGCTGTTTGGTAACGTCAGATGTAAATCGTTGTCGCTTGCACGAAGTGGAAACGAGGGGATGCGTCGTCGAATAAAGTTCTTGTACGAGGACCATTCTGTGTCTATGGCCTGGGACACTGCTTGAATGTGCTTCTCGCAGAACTGTCCTACAGTATCAAAGAAACTGCGGTACAGGCCATAAGCACCCTGGAAAGCCGCTTCCGTCCTTTCTGCTTCAAGTTTCGCCAGTCGCCGGCATAGCTTGGCTCGCAAGAAATGAACTTCTTCTATGCTCATGGACTTTGCGCAATCCTGGAGAAGTTGTGTGTGGAGCACGCACTGAAGGAACTTGTAGTTTACACAGCCCCATTCAGGAGATAGCTCAGCATACAAGATCCTCTGAACGCACACTCGTATGACAAGCCAAAAAGCGCTTCGTCGCCACGGGCGCTCGGCATTCGACCAGCACACATCATCCCAGAGTCGCTTCTGAAGAAGTGGAGGATAAACTCGCTCCCCAAGAGCCTCGAGCAGCGCCATCAGCATCTGAGTGATAAGAGCAGGGTCAACAGTGTCACGAATCTCTGCCAATGTGACACCTGCCTTCCTGGCTTTGGCGGCAAATTGTTTGATCGATTCAGCGCTTGCCTGCTCCAGGAACGAGGCCAGGCTTTCGATAAAAGATTGTTGTCGGAAGCGAAGAAGTGGTATGGAAACGGCCGTGCCAGGGAAGTTGCATCCGAGTGCCTTTGCTGATCCCAAGACATCTTCAGCCCTTGGAGACGCTTCAAACGCTTCAAATATCACATTCGACGTTCTGTTAAATAGAAAAGAAGAGTGTCAGTACAGCAAATCACAACCCTAGAGCCAGGTGACACTTACTCTCGTTCGTAACGGATCAGAAGACCTGCATTCTGTTCTGACACATGCACGATGACAGGCACATTGTCTTTGACACGCTGCAAAGCCTCCACGAGCGCCTTCTTATCTACCACTCCCTTTTGGTGGATTCTCCAACATGACTCCAGAGCCTTCGTAACTGCCTTCCATGCCCTATCTGAGCCTTGGCCAGTGAGTGAGACGAGGGTGTCTGACGCCCGTAGCATCCGTGACGCGAGACTTTCCTCAATACGAGCAAGATTGTTATCGAAGCTAGCAGGACGCTTGGGTGGCAGAGCAACATGGTTGAAGGTTCCCCTCAGGGTACCCAACGACATCTTGAATACTTAGCTGTGCCTTTGCCGTCATGAAGAATATCCATCGATATGAATAGGGGGAAATGGAAAATGTTGAAGGAAAACTGGGGACCAAGAGAAGAGAAAAGTGAAGTGTGCAGGACAAAGTGAAAGGTGGGATGCTGTTTCGTTTGTTTGAATGCAAGTGAATGCGCTTCTCCCAACGTGGAAACCGTGAAGCAATGGTAGACTGGTGGCCTTACCAACATCTTCGTTGCCATGTTTCCAAGCTATAGCTTCTTCAACCATTACTAGCAGTCATCAATTTTTTGAGATATATCTAGCCGCATGACATTCGTGAGCATTAAGAGTATATAAACTATGCGTCTATTCGTTAATCACAGGAATATTACGAGTCCGATACCCACGCCACTCAGGCAGAGTACGCTTCCACTGAGTATCCGTAGATTTCTGCAGATCCTCAATAGCACTTGCGTACTTGATCAACGTCGGTTCCGCAAACGCCGTGTGCATGATCGCCAGTCCGTACGGCATACCAGAAGCGCGGTTTACGCCAGCCGGGACAGTAATCACTGGATAGCCGGCCTGCGCTGCGATCTGAATGCTCTGAGCGACATCTGGTGGCACGAGAAGGCCATCCAAGACGCTGTCGCCGTGCTGCAGAGCTTCATCGATGCCTTCTTCGCGAGTGGTTCGGCGACAGAATGAGAGTGCCTGCCAGTAGGTTTTGTCCATCACTCCTTTGGTCGCTAGAGATGCCTCGAGACCGTCTTGTCCAGACGCAAACGCGGGATGGACGTCAGGGTGTCCGCCCTCGGAGCCAGCGTTCTCGGCATTGTACGCGACTAAATCCTCTAGTGAGCGCATGGAGGTATTGTCCAACTCTGCGAGATATGCCTTGATGTTGTTGTAGAAGTCGACTTTGATGTAGGTGTACTCAGATTCGTTAGGATAACCACGCACGGTTCCATAATCCCAGTCCCAACCGGTAGGCGAAACAATCTTTTGGTGATGCGGTAACTCAGTTCCATTGATTATGATCGCGCCGGCTTCCTTTATCAAATCTAGAAGATCCATTAGCTGGGATAGCTGCTCTGGGCCAGCTAGTTTCCAGAAGGATTCCCATGGCAGGCCAAATACTGCGCCCTGAAGACTACTCTTGTTGCTCAGAAATTGAGCGTAGCCTCCAGAGGGAGTTTTCCCTTGCTGCGAATGTGTAGCATTGTCGCGGTCATCCACACCGTAGATGGCATCTAGTGCATAGGTTGCATCGCGCACCGTTTTCCCAAATGTACCTATGGTATCTTGATTCAATGACTCGGGGATAGTACCGCTGCGCGACGTTAAGCCGACTGTAGGTTTGATACCGACTATGGCATTCCGTTCTGCCGGGTTGATTACTATATTACTGTTAGAGATGCCGCGCAACGAGCTGGAATGTTTGTGTGGAGTCCACATACCACTACCATCTGTCTCCGTACCCACGGAAAAGGGGACAAGGTTGGCACCGACAGCGACTCCAGGCCCAGAGCTACTCCCACCCGGGTTGACCGTCAAGTTATAAGCACTGCGACACTGGCCTCCACGGCCGGAGTAGCCTTCCGAGTAGTTGTTCGATCTCATGTCGGCCCATTCGCTCAACGCGGCCTTTCCCAGCAACAAGGCTCCTGCTTCACGTAACTGGCGTATCACAAACGCGTCCCGCGGGACTATAGATCCCAATAGTGCCCAGCTGCCAGAGGTAGTCTCCATACGGTCCTTTGTCCCTATATTATCCTTTGCGACGAATGGGATCCCGTGTAACGGACCGCGGATCTGGTCGTTGTCGCGCTCTTCGTCGAGCTTTGCTGCAATCGTGAAGGCATCTGGGTTTATTTGCAAAATCGCACTTGATAACGGTTAGTCAATTCAATGCCACCTGTGAGGATTGTGAGTGTACTTGAGGTAGCTGCTGGTTTGATAAATGCGCTCCAGATAGCAAGAAACGAGATCAACGCTGGACAGGGCCCGCGATGTCAACAACCCCTGAATATCGTCTATGCTCGCTTCTTCCAGCTGAATCCCCCGGCACGGGCGCATAGGAAACAGATCCGATCCATTGTTTCCAACAATCAGAGAGCCGTTTGCCAATTGAGAATCTCGCGTGTAGTTTGTACCTAGACTGGAATCCTCGCAACGGGTCAGTGTGACTAGGCCCAGGAACCCCGCCGCCGCTAGAAAAACAGCGGAAAACATCACAATCCAAAATAATGCTCAACAGACCGACGCGTATGGCAATTGACCTTTTGAATAGAATTGGTGGCTACGGAAGGGATGGCGCGCAGGCTTATAGGAACGGCATTATTGTGGCCTGAGGTGTCTATATCCACTCAGTTCAGCTATTCCTATTTTGGCGATTGAGGCAAGGAGATAGGGCTGTTAATGTTTCGAGCATTGGTCTTGTTTATAACCCTTGGTTTCATTTATGGTAACCGAGGTTCATGAAGTTATGATGATCCTATCCAGAACCCTGGGCCAGAACAGCTATATACAACAGGTTTTTATACAGTAAACTTAATCTTGTTCGTCTCCGCCGACTCCTTCGCAATCTGCTTAACAGCCTCCTCACCAACTTCATCAAAAATATCATATCCCCATCTCCCCGGGAAATTGAACCGCTTATGTCGTTCCAACGAGTTAAGCTGCGCAAACGCATCCTCGGGGAGCTTCTTGATCAGCAAGTTACTCGCGATGCGCGAGGGAGTAACACTCTTAGGCAGGACGACTGTGCCGCGCTGAACTCCCCAGCTTCCCAGGACAACGCCAGGGTCCATACCTAACCTCCCAGCCACCTCGTGAACGAGTGGGTCGTCGACGGTGCGGGGCTCGCCGGTCTGGTTGTTGCCCAGGGGCGAGTATGCCTGTAGGAGGATGTTCTTGCTGCGGCTGTACTGGAGGAGGTCGGGCTGGGTGAGGTAAGGGTGCGCCTCGACTTGGTTCACCGCGGGGACGACGTCGACCTGGGAGATGAGACGGTCGAGGTGGCGGATGTTGAAGTTGGAGACGCCGATGGCTTTGACTTTGCCGGTGGCTAGCAGTTTCTCCATGGCCTTGTAGGTGGTCACGTAGTCGATGTCGGCCAGCTGGAAGATACCTTCCTCGTTGATGGGGAACCATTTTTCACCGCGAACAAAGGCGCTGTTTTTGTTAGCATTCGCCGCATTTTTCCGGGGCTATCAGACTTACACTGGCCAATGCATCAAATACAGATCCAAATACGCAACACCCAAATCGCTCAACGTCTTGTCCAACGCCGCGTCAACATCCTCGGGCGCATGCTTGGTGTTCCACAACTTGCCAGTCAAGAAGATTTCCTCACGCGCGACACCAGAGTTCTTGATTCCCTGGCCGACTTCCGTCTCGTTGCGATAGATAGCAGCGCAGTCGATGTGACGGTATCCCTCTCGCAGGGCGGTTTCAACGGCGCGCTCGACTTCGTGCGGGGCAGCTTGCCAGGTGCCGAAGCCGACGGCGGGGATTTGGGCGCCGGTGTTGAGGGTGAAGTGCGCAGGGAGGGGCATTTTGTCTGGAATGAGTTATTTATTTTCGAGCAAAGGATGACGGATGCGGTTGTATTTATATGGTCGTACGGACCAAGTCCGAGATGCGGATATCGACAGTAGAGACGGATAAAGGATACATTTCCGCCATTCACTCGGATTCTGTGAGGTCACAGTAGAGGGTCATAACCATAGTCTGTTATTATTAAAATGTACAGTTCCACCTATAAATTTTTAGTCGTTTCCCAGGACCAGCTCTCTTTCTCATGAATCCTTCTCGGTTCCTGTAGTATAACACCGATCATCCTCGCCTTCAACCTCTTTCACCAACTGGTTCATCTCCTTGATTTGCTTGTCAATCTCCTTCTTCTCCATGCGCTGCTCGCGGTCGAACAGCTCGATATTTGGCTTGCGGTAGCTGCCTCCGACGCGGTCCCAGAACGTGGTGAATTGGCCGTAGTTGTAGTTGAAGTAGTAGTGGTGAATAGTATGGCAAGCAGACCCGTTGACCACGGGCGAGTTCATCGCATATTCACCGTCATCTAGTATGATGTCAATTTCTATTAGTGCCATCTAACCCGGGTAAGAACTTACGGATCATGACAGTCCAGATGGTGACAAACGTAAACAGACCGAGGTACGCCGCCTTCTGAAGAGGAAACAGAACCGGGAACACATGGTACGGAACGCTTTGAGCCCAGCCATCCAACGGATGGAACGCATAACTAGCGTACGGAGTCGAAATGATCCATTTGTGATGCGGCTTGTGAAACCGCTTGTAGATCATCGGATGGTGCAGTCCACGATGAATCCAGTAGATGCCAAAGTCCGTAAACGCGATGAACAGCGGATACTGGATGTAGTTGTAAAGAGGGAACGGGGCCTCTGTCGGAAAATCGTATAGCTTGGTGAGTCCTTGCGTTTCGGCCACGAAGAATGGGGCTGTCAAGGCGGACATGACGGGCATTGCGCTCAATGCTTGTCGGATCTCCATGGGGATCTGATTGCGCAGGAACTTGGGGTGCTGCATAGTTCGATGGTCGTAGACGAAGTAGTAGGAGATGGTTGCGCTAAGGAAGTATAGGAACAGACCGAAGACCCTGATTGCAATTGGTCAGTCTATGCAATTCTGCCATTTTGACGCAGGATACTCACCAAATAATCATAAAGAAGCTTAAAAACTGCCGTAGGATATGCTCTCTAGGCAAACGCGAAAGATATGCCCATTGAGTAGGCGCAAGATCCAGATAACGGCCGACATTCTCGTTATATAGCACAGAGGGCTTGACGGGATTGCCGTGGACAGGCAAGACCGCGGCGTATGCGCGATCCAGCACAAACGTATCTAGTACATCCAGCAAGACATCCATTTTGACATTGACGATCCGTGGAAAAAAGAGATAGGTTTGAATGAATTCCGCGGTTGTTTTATTTTTAAGTATCCAAGAAACAGCGTCATATTATTAATGGGCCCACGTGAATCGGAAGAGCAGAATCCGGTTCTCTTCATCTGCCTTTCGGGAATTTTCGAGGCTTGAATCGTCCTGGGAGTTAATTATCGATATGCAGGGAGAGTCAGGTACACAATAGGAGTGACCTGGTTGGTCGCAGAGGCTGTACGGAGTATACAATGCCGCGATATATAGCGCGTCACTAGCTTCGGCACACAGAATAACCATAACCCACAAGAAACAGGTCAATACCAGTAGTATTTACAATTGACAACGGCATCCTACTAGTATATAATACATCATATATCATACAATTCGCTGGTTGTTGAGATACTCTCCAAATCCCGGCCAGAGGTCCGGATACACTCCAACGGTCAGCAAACAAAACGCTAACAAGCCTGGGAAAACGCACTTATAGGCAAGCAGTCCAGCCGCGGCCAGAAATTCAACGATGGATCACCATCCATCGCAAAGCTCCCAAAGAGACTTTCCGCGCGTGGGTCGAGTATATTGTATCCTGGGGCTGTCATTTCTTCGTTCATCGGATGCTCTTCATAGACAGCTGCACTCGATGGCTGGGGACTGAACATGGGATCTATTGGAGGGGTGCGTGTGGTCGTTCGGTTTGTTTTCGCATATCTTGGTCGAGTGCTTCCGCTAGTTCTGTCCTGGGATCCATCCTGGTATAGAACGCGGTTGACTTCTCCTCGAAGACCCTGCAGAATGGCACTGTATCGCCAGGACGGAGCATTGCGAACGGTGACCTGTGCCAAATGGTGTTGGGTGGTCTCTGCCAGCTCATACAGCACATTTTCATGCAAGTCCTGAGTTGCACAGGGTGGAATGCGACCCCGTTTCATTTGAATCAAATAGATGTATATCGCCGACAAGGCATTGAAGGCAATGTACTGCGAATACCAAAATGCCGGGAAAAGCTGTTCTTCCTTGGCAAAGCTTAGAATGAGCGATATCGTGTCGCGGGCCGCCGCAACGCAAGTGGTGAGATAATGTCGATAGGAACTTTCGTAGCCAGGGAGATTGGTGGCATAATTACGTAGTAGCAGCGGTCTCGTCACGAACATAACGGCGTGGAAACGTGCCAACTGCAACACAGTGAGTTGACGACGGAACAGAGGGATCAAGCTACTTGGTTTAATGGCACCGGAAAGGATCGGGGGCAATTGTGTATGCCACGCCTCAATGGCTTCGCTCAGCGACTCGATGGACTGCATCTGCTGTACATCTGAGATGGATCTGACGGCATATTGTTCCTTGGCCGCACGTGACAGGATTCGAGCCAGCAAAGCATGGAGTATGGGTGCATTCATAATACAATCCTTATGTGTACTGCTTTCGTCGGGCTGCTCTTGTCCCAAATCGTCATCATCCACAGCAGCGGGGAGTTCTTGGTCAATATCCTCTTCCTGCAGAAATCGAGGCCGTCCTAGGATAAGACTCAGATATTTGTCCAACGTATAGGCGCACCAAATCACGCGCTTCTCACACTCTCGAGTAACGCGCTCTTCTATCGAGGCCGATGCGTTCAATGGCCGATAGCGATGCAGTCCCAGACACACGAGGAGCTGCACCACTGTACCAAAAGTGAACCATGACTGGTTGGCACGCGAAGAGCACAGCAAGTATAGAACCATCAGGAAGCGGGCCTGAACGGACCCAAGTGTTGGCATTCCCACCTCATGGGCCAAGCTAGACTCGGCCATGGCATAGTACAATTCGCTATGAAGCCATCCATCATCGCCGGCATCACGAATTCGTTCTGGATCGCCGCGGAACATCAACGAGGTCGCAAAGACCATGAGTAATGTTGCCTGGGTCGCTGCAGACAAGGGATTGGAAAGTGATTGGGGGTGGTAGATATCATCAACCCATTTATCAACCGTGCCTTGGTGCAAGATGCGATAGGTCGGGGCTGCGAAGTCAAAGTATCGTCGGACCAGTTCCCGTGCAACCCTCACATCTGGCCAGTGGAAGCGAGTACGATCCACTTCCGGAACTTTGCGATCACCATATGAGAAGATGGGGACAGCGGGTGATGATGATATTTCCAAGTCCGGGGGTGCTGTTGATATCGACGGCCGGGAAGTATGAGAGAAGTTCTGCACCGCACGACCCAGAAAAGAGTGTGCAGAAGCAGGACCACAATACTGACCAGCGACATCCAAGACTAGATCAGGATCTTGCGACTCGTAAGAAGTTTCCGCAACGGATCCTCCTCCCGCGGATGCCGTCTCAACGGGGGAAGAAGCGTCAACATGATGAAGACAAGCATCATCAGAGGCTTGAGGAGTCACCACGGCACCGCGACTGTATGAAGCATTGTACTTGCATTGAGACTGGGCTCGCACGCATGGTCTGCAAGGGATTGTGCCCGTACAAGCTTTCTTTTTGCTTTTACAAGCATCACAAGCGCGGGTCACTTTGCGTCGCTTGGCAGACCGTCGAGAGGACGACGATGAAGCTAGATTTGGTGTCATTTCGGATCAAATATGCAGGAAATCCGCTAAATGTAAAGAGACTGTGGATGGTGCTGGTAGATATTCGTCGTTGTAGAGCATTTCCGAAGCGTCGGATTCTTTTCCGCCGATTGGTATATAAGAGCCATATCTCCCACAGACGATTGATAATAAGCTTTTGTTCCTGTGGAAAAGCAGATTGAAAGTTGGAACGCCGGCATCTAGAAATGCAGATGGTGTACTCTGTACTATGGATTTCTGCTCGTTCTTGGTTTTAAATATGAGAGGATAGATCCTCATAGTCGGGTTGTACTGAGTAGGATGTCCGATGGAATCGGGAGTTGAACTACAGTATTGATGGAATGTGTTTGACCTCAATAATGTAACTACATCGTGAAAAAACAGTAAAACACCTGGATTCGGCATTTGAACGTTTGATCCAGTTAGGAAATAGGTGCGGATGTCATCTCATCCAAGTCCCGTCAAGCGTCTACACAAGTCCCCATAGACCAGGCCGCTTTCTTGGCCTTTAGCTAGCGATGAGGGTCTTCGATTCGGTGATCCATGAAACAAAGTTCTGGACAAGTCTATGGAGTGTGCAGAGATCATTTCTTGCCGTGTTTTCGAGGCGAGCGGGTAAGGCTTGGACGTTTTGACTAGAACGGATTGTGCCTGGAGGTCCTTAATTTCGTGAACCGTGTCTTACTGACAACGACTGATTGTATATCCACTTGCTTGTCATGCTGGTCATAGTGAGTATCCATCGAGAATATGTAAGAGTCATGTTTTGAGAGTAGTAGATATTGTCGAGATTGATTCTGCGTGAACCCGGTGAAGATAGCTGCAGACTGCAACCAAAGACAGAATAAGAGCAGAGGAAGTACGGAGTAGAAGATCAGTATCAAATGAGGTTGAAGACCATCGTTAAACCCATGACGTATCACCCATCCTCGACGTCGACATCGTGTTTTCTACAAGTACACCGTACTATGTACAACATCGCCCGTCAGCAGCCTTAACATCTGTCATATGCCTAATACACCTCGGCCCAATCCTTCGAAACCTCGAAGACTCGGTCAATTATGATATATGAGTCGTCCTGCTGACGGGGAACGTGAAGTGGTTGGTTACTCATTGCTGACAGCCAGGATTCTTCACCTCACTCATGCCGCCCCTCCGTCCCTTGCGTATCTTTTTTTTTTCACCTCCGACTGGAATCCAACCTGGTTGCCACGGACCACAATACGAGAATTCGTTACTCTGTACTCCATATCTGTACATCTGAGCTCTCTCATCGATATGGCGGTCACGGCGCAGTGGTCAGTGGTTTTCCTACCAGACCTGAACAGGCTAGAGCCGGAACGGACGGTGGAGCAAAGAGACAGGCCGATTCAACATCAAAAAAAAGTCTACCTCCACGCGACTAAGCCACTGTGGGCAATCATGCAATGGCATTCATTGATTGTTGCGTTGCCCCACCGGCGTCCCACGAGATCGTGATTATTTCTGCCATTCAGGATGAGCCGGGCCTGTGTTGCGCCACGGTCCGCGTCACAGCGGTCTGGTTTATTTTTGGTGCGGTCTTTGACCGTCCAGGACGAATCACGGCTTGCGCGGTACTCTGTACATAGAACAACTCGGTTGGGGGAATACATACAGTGCACTAGTACGCCGTATGTAGAGTGCTACCCGAAGGACCGGAGTGATCGTCCTCTCCGTACATAGCGTTAAACCTTGCAAAGGAGGAGAAACGAAAGAAGGGGAATCGGAATGCTTCTGCTATTATTCGAAGCGTGCCCTTCCGGAACCTCCTCGGGTAATGATATTTGACTAGCCTCTCCACTGGGACCGGAATTGACGACGTATCAGAGACCTCAGCCATAAAAAGCACACCCATAGAAATCATCCTGAGAGTACCGTTGGGTCCGAAGGTCGTTCCAGGGAGGTTGCCAGAATACGAGGTTTTCTTTTTCAGGCCCCCCCCCCCAGCATCTGCGTGTGTGTTTGTTGTCTGTGCCTGACTGCGCCGGATACTCCTCTTCTCTCTACCTCCTCTTCTACCTCCTCCTCTTCTACCTGACTACTGTCTCAGAGAGGATCATACCTCGTTTAATCTGTCTCTCCCCATATTGCCACCCCCATATTCATCATCCCGATCGTTTTAACGCTAAAAAAGCGTCCCAAGCAGCCTTTCTCGGTTGTCATCTTGGGTCATCTTCCTGAGGGACACGCTAAGGCTTAAAAAATAAAAATAAAAAAAGGCAGCATTCTTTCTCGCAGACGATGCTCCACAGGTAAACAACGGACCTTCTTTTCGTCGCTCTTTATTATTATTGGATTGGCTTGGCTCTGCATAGCGCTCTGTCGCTGCGGATACTGCATTTCTATTATTGCGTTCTTCTAACCAACCACCTAACCTACTACTTGCTCTACTGCCCTCTCTCCGTCAATTTCCGCCAATTCCCCCCCCCCCGGTTTCTCTCGCTTGAATTTTATTTTTATTTCTTCTTGATCCAGATTTGAAGATCTGGATCTCCATCCTTCTTCCCATCTCAAAATGGGTACACAGTTCCCCTTTAGGAACTCCCATTCTCCTCAGGAGAGCCAGAGCAGCAGTGGCTACTCCCCGGCCACCACGCCTTATAGGGTGAGTGATTCAGCTTGCTATCATTTAAAACAGGCTTCTGTATGGAGTTGGCTAATGCGCTCTGTTTCCCTCTATCCAGCAAAGCGGCCTTGAGGAGACTGAACAGGAACTGTCGCTGCTTCGCGGTCAACCCAGCCCACAACCCGGCCCGCAACCCAGTCCTTTTGGCGCTCCTTTCGATAACAATTATTCCACCGACTCGCTTCGTCGATACACTCTGCATGACCCTGGTGTGACCGTGTTCCCCAATGTGCCGCCCTACGAGGGTCAGCCCGACTATGTGACCAGTCCCTACGGCACCCCGGCGTCCGAAGGAGGAACGACTTCATCAGATGCGTGGAAGCGAAGACAGGGACCGGGAACGGGCCTTTCGCGTCGCTATGGTACAAGGAAGATTAAGCTGGTGCAGGGTTCCGTCCTGAGTGTCGACTATCCCGTTCCAAGCGCCATCCAAAATGCCATCCAACCGGAATACCGGGAGTCGGAGGAGGCTTTCACAGAAGAATTTACGCACATGCGATGTGAGTCTTGATACACAGATGCTGAAATCGAGATTGTACAAGGATAGGGACTAATATGAACGTCGAATCCAGACACTGCGGCCACTTGCGATCCTGACGAATTTACCTTGCGGAATGGATACAACTTGCGCCCGGCCATGTACAACCGACATACGGAACTCTTGATTGCCATCACCTATTACAACGAAGATAAAGTCTTGACAGCACGAACACTGCACGGTGTGATGCAGAATGTCCGCGATATCGTCAACTTGAAGAAGTCGGAATTCTGGAACAAGGGAGGCCCCGCGTGGCAGAAGATCGTGGTCAGCTTGGTGTTTGATGGAATCGACCCTTGCGACAAGAACACGTTGGATGTGCTGGCGACCATTGGTATTTATCAGGATGGGGTGATGAAGCGAGATGTTGACGGTCGGGAAACCGTCGCTCACATTGTCAGCTCCTAACCACCAGTTCTGGTTTTCATACGAGCTAACACACGTACAGTTCGAGTACACCACCCAACTCTCCGTTACAGCAAACCAGTCATTGGTCCGACCGCACAAAGATGATCCTAACACGCTGCCCCCGGTCCAGATGCTTTTCTGTCTCAAACAGAAGAACAGCAAGAAAATTAACTCCCACCGATGGCTCTTCAACGCTTTCAGTCGGATTCTCAATCCAGAGGTTGTGATTTTGATTGATGCAGGAACAAAGCCCGGTCGCAAATCCTTACTGGCGCTGTGGGAAGCCTTTTACAACGACCGCAACCTTGGAGGAGCTTGTGGAGAGATCCATGCCATGTTGGGTGAAGGATGGCGCAACTTGGTGAACCCACTCGTCGCTGCGCAAAACTTCGAATATAAAATCTCCAATATTCTGGATAAGCCTTTGGAAAGTGCCTTTGGATATGTCAGTGTGTTGCCTGGTGCATTCTCAGCGTACCGGTACCGTGCGATCATGGGACGCCCGTTGGAACAGTACTTCCATGGTGACCATACATTATCTAAAAAGCTCGGTAAGAAGGGTATTGAAGGAATGAATATCTTCAAGAAGAACATGTTCTTGGCTGAGGATCGCATTCTTTGCTTTGAACTGGTGGCCAAGGCAGGGTTCAAATGGCATCTTTCCTATGTGAAGGCGTCGAAAGGTGAAACCGATGTGCCTGAAGGAACAGCCGAGTTTATCAGTCAACGGCGAAGATGGCTGAACGGATCTTTCGCTGCCGGTCTGTACTCCATGATGCATTTCGGGCGTATCTACCAAAGTAGCCACAACTTCCTTCGGATGTTCTTCTTGCACATTCAAATGCTTTACAACTTCGCGCAGCTGATCATGACCTGGTTCTCCCTTGGTATGTCCTAAGAACCTGTATCCCGAAAGATAGGTATTTGATTACTGACAAGCACAGCGTCCTACTGGCTCACTAGTTCCGTCATTATCGACCTGGTGGGAACGCCTAGTTCGACAAACATGAACAAGGGATGGCCGTTCGGTAATGAAGCGACCCCAATTGTGAACAACATTCTCAAATATGGTTATCTCTTCTGTCTCATGCTTCAGTTTATTCTGGCACTCGGAAACCGCCCCAAAGGGTATGTCTTGCTTTTCATTTCAGCAGAGTGTTCCATGGCTAATCCTCATTTTTCTTTGTTGATAGTGCACGACTTCCGTATACCCTGTCGTTCCTATACTTCTCGATCGTTCAGTTCTATGTCCTCATCTGCTCGTTCTACCTGGTCGCAAATGCTTTCAGTGGTGGCACGTTAGATTTCAACACGTCAGATGGCGTGGGTGCATTCCTGAAATCGTTCTTCAGTTCTCAAGGACCGGGTATTGTGCTGATTGCATTGGTATCGACATACGGTATTTACGTGGTGGCCAGTGTGCTGTACATGGACCCGTGGCACATCTTGACCAGTTCGTGGGCGTACTTTGTTGGAATGACGACTTCGATCAACATCCTGATGGTTTACGCGTTCTGTAACTGGCACGACGTCTCGTGGGGTACCAAGGGATCAGACAAGGCGGATGCGCTACCCTCGGCACAAACACAAAAAGACGGGCTGAAGTCGAACTTCATTGAAGAACTGGATAAACCGCAGGCGGACATTGACAGCCAGTTCGAAACTACGGTGAAGCGTGCGCTGGCGCCGTTTGAAGAGCCCGAGGAGGAATACGAGAAGTCGATGGATGATTCGTACCGGAACTTCCGAACCAACCTGCTGTTGCTCTGGATCTTCAGCAATCTGATTCTGTCGTTGCTGATCACGGCGGAGAGCATCTCTCGGATGTGTCTGACGGTGAGTTTCCTTCCCTATCGCTGTTCTTGTACGGATGATACTGACTTTGCCAGAACACCTCGACGACGCGGACATCGTACTTCTTCCAGGTCATTCTGTGGTCCACGGCAGCACTGTGCTTCTTCCGCTTCTTTGGATCCTTGTGGTTCCTGGGTCGGTCGGGCATTCTCTGCTGTGTGAACAGACGATAATGTGTGAATGTTTTCTTACCTTCTATATCTTCTTGGAAACTTTTTTTTTTTTTTTTTTTTTTTTTTGTTTTCCCCATGAAATCTGTTCTAATCTCTCTTTTTTCTTGATCTTTTTCTATGGCGATGAACATTGGTGTAGGATAGGGATCCAGCGCATTTGTCTTTTGTGCTATAGGTGTTTCTGTCATCATACTACTATGTACTACTTGGTGGACTTGTTATTTCTCGGTGTTACTTGATAGATCCGGCTGCAGATGATAATTTTGGTCCAATGCAATATTATATTTGGCCTACAATCAATTTCCTCAGTCAAAAGCCGAGAGGGTGCCATTGCCAATCAGAAAGCGTTTTTGCTCTATGCCTCTGTAGGTTCTTAGTTTAACTTATGCCTAGCATATAGTCTCCCTGTAAAGAGGGTATAGCATCTTTTTATATACATAGTTCTCCGATATATATCGTTGCATCATGTACAGAGTACTTGGTATATAGGGTATGGGAATATATATATATATATCTCCACTCAGCTCCAGTCCCATCAACACCCAAAATATACTAGCAGAAAGATATCCATTTGGATCAAGTAGACATCTGTATACTTGATTGTCAGCCATAGATGTCAGAGCCAATCGAGTTATTTTGAGGAAACATCGGACTTGTTCCTTAAAGCCGATGGGAAAGCTCACGTGCCACTATGCAAACAAAACAAACGGGAACCACAAAGGCCAAGGGTATGCATTTGCAGCACTTTGATCTGCACACATACCCCTGTACTCTGTACTGCCGGCATAGTAAATGTTATCTTCTGCTTTTGCAATTGAATCCGGCCAATGCCACCAGACTCTAGCTCATCCGACGTGACATCGCCCAGCGACGATGATTGGCATGGAATCATTGACAAAATCGAACGACGAAGGCGACAGAACCGAGTGAATCAGCGCGCATGGCGTAAGTACATACAGTCCCCATCGTGGTTTAATGCAGCTGCTGAACTATGCGCGTATCAATGCAGGACTCAGACACAAGCAAAACCCGCTACATGATGGACTGCCATCACCATCTCCCTCGGCCAACAAGTCCGCTTTGCTCCCCTTTGTGCCACCGAACCATACACACGATGGATCGTCCTGCTCGAGACCGGAGTGCTTCTTGATCAGTTCCGAGACCGAAACCTTGCTTAAGAAGTTTGAATTTACCGCCTATACAAGTTATATCATCGGGTCGCCTCAGGCGGATCACCTCTTGACCTTGGTGAGGGGAAATATCTTTCGCGCTCTCTTCCACAATCTCTCCGTGTTGGGGTTATCGAAAGAATGGATGAATGAGGATGCTCTCTCGCCGCTCGCTTCAGACTCAGAATCCCACCTTGTCCGTGATCTCGCAATGCTGCCGGTTTCCCTCCAGCCCACCGCTCTGCAACGAAGCGTCGAACACCATCCGTGGTTAGACCTGTTCCCCTTGCCTCGAATGCGGGATAACATGATCAAATTGGGAGACGCGCTGGATGAATACCAACTGTGTGAGGATCTCATGGGATTCTGGAACACACAGCAGAAGGATTCTATGCTGGTTGTTTGGGGAGATCCCTGGGACCCGCGGAATTGGGAAGTCACTGAGCAGTTCCTGCGAAAATGGAGCTGGTTGATTAAAGGATGTCCAGAGTTGATTTGGTCTACAAACTACTGGCGTCGTCAACGTGGGGAGAAGAGGATTGCTTATAGGGGTTACGAATGATTACCGGCGGTGTACGAACCACTAGTTTCCCATTCGACCCGGACTAACTAGTTGGGATCATACCATTCTCATGACAGCGATGTCTTGCTGCCAAGACTCGCCCACATGGCTTACTCGATCCGGAGAGCATCGAAGTGCGTCGAACACGCGCTTCTTTCGACAGTCTCTGCCAAGAGTGGCCCACACGGGCAAATAAGCAACCGCTATGCGATTGGCAGTGCTGCTAAGTCCGTTTTGGGTTATGTGGGCCCCGTAGCATGGGGTACTCTGTGCAGGGCAGTAATGGCGATATTCTCTGCGCGGAGTACGTGGATTACTACTGCAACGTTGGTTTCCAATGCTGTCGTCGCCTTGGACTGCGATGACACATAGTCGGATCTAGTTAACGAGGGTATTATGTCTGGGACCCTTTGATCACATCACCGCGGCAAGACTTGAGCACGGAGTGCATAGTAACAACTCTAACTCCTTGTCAGGAGAGCTGCTGAAGTGTACAGGAGTTTCCCTGCTTCATTCTCTAGCAGGGCTTTTATCCAGAAGCTCTCCCAATTCAATACATTATTATTTCTGGTTATTGCCAATTCTATACTGGATCTGCAGAACTCTTCGTACTCCGTAGACTATGGTCGCCATCTATGGAAGCTTCCTAATCAGCGCCATAGGGTTCTATTGTAATCGGCTTATGCCCAGTCCCACACGTCTGTACCATAATCTATCCGAAGACCCCCCGTAGTGGCGGAGAATGATCTCATTGATTTGCGTCGGGATGCCGGTTTCCCGAATAATCAACTCAACTCAATCAAACCACTTGACTCGCTAATGCCGTGGTTCCATAATACCATAGTCACCGTCTTTTCGCTGACAAATTTATAACCGGTTAACTCCATGGTTGCTGGTGTTAAATAAAGAGGTTCCCGGCATGATGGATAAAGCAATTGCCTTTTACCATCGACTTCTGATTGCCCTATTCATATCATTCATATCAACATAACAGACCTGCCATAATGTCTACCGAAACTGTCCTTGTCTCCGGTGCCTCCGGCTTCGTCGCCACGCACATTGTCGACGCCTTCCTCAAGACTGGCTATGCCGTTCGGGGAACAGTCCGTTCTCAGGATACCGCTGAGAAGGTCCGTCGCACATTCCCTCAGTATGCGGACAAGCTCAGCTTCGCTATCGTCCCGGACATCGGTGCGCCCCATGCATTCGACGAGGCTGCCAAGGGCGTTCGCGGTGTTATCCACACGGCAACTCCCTTTCAGATCGAGGTCGAGGACAACGAGCGCGATCTGCTCATCCCCGCTATCGAGGGTACCAACAACCTCCTCAACGCCGTGAAGAAGAACGCCCCCGAGGTGCAGCGCATTGTCATCACTTCCTCGTTTGCCTCCATCATCGACCTGGGCAAGGGTAACCGCCCGGGCCATGTGTATTCCGAGGCCGACTGGAACCCTCTGACCTATGAAGTGGCTGCTAAGACGGAAACCCCTGGAGCTGCTGCGTACACTGCCGCCAAGACCCTGGCAGAGCGTGCGGCCTGGGACTTCATCGAGCGGGAGAAGCCCTCGTTCGATGTGGCCACCATCTGCCCTCCCATGGTGTACGGCCCCAACATCAACGCTACCACCAACCTCGCCAAACTCAACACCTCCTCTGCCGATGTCTACCGGTTGATGTCGCCCAACTCCAAGCCCACTGACCCTGTTCCGGCCAACGCTTTCTGGTCGTGGGTGGATGTGCGCGATGTGGCTCAGGCTCACTTGAAGGCCTACCAGCTGTCCGAGGCTGGTGGTCAGCGATTCTTTGTCACCGGCGGCAACTTCAGCTACCAGCAGTTCGTTGATGTCCTGCGGGAGAAGATCCCTGAGATTAAGGACCGCGTGCCCGTTGGCAAGCCTGGCTCGGGTTTCGGTGGTGTTGAGCTGTACGGCGTCGACAACTCCAAGTCTCAGAAGGTTCTGGGTCTCAAGTACCATGACCTCGAGCAGACCGTTGTTGACTCTGCGCGTGCTTTCCTCGAGTTGGAGAAGAGTTCGTAGAAAGCATGGCAGCAGAACATTTTGAATAGAGGTATCACGCTATGCAGTTGTACATAATTTGCACATGGTTAATGTGTTAGACTTGTAAATATGAATTCATCATAACTGCAACAGATCAGTTCAGCACAGTAGCTAGTAGCGGTTGGAGTGAGTGCTAACCTGAACCAGTAGCCAAGAGCGATCGCGACGTTTAAAACGAATCTTTCACAAAGGATACTCCAGCGTTTCATGGTAACGGTTTTCACGGACTGCCCCGAGGATTTGCTCTTTCGAGTGGTTGTTGCATGTGACGTTTTCACATGGGCCACTGCTGATTTCGACGACTTAATGCACTCTCTGCGCGAGACTAACTACCATACGCGGTAGGCATTCAGCGTCTTGACTCAGCTCCTCCGAAGAATGTCCGTCTGACGCAAGGAGCTGCATCTGTTGCCGCGTTAGTCCCTGTGGCTGGTAACTGGACATCATTACTCACGTTAAATTGTAGAAGAATCATAACGATGACCTTCTTCAACTCTAAGAATACCACTCGGGCTGCCGTGCAAGTTCGTCTGCTGATATAAAATGCTAATAGACATTGCTCCATACGCTTTCGTTTCTGCTGATCCACAACAAGCCAGCGTTCCGGTTGAAAGTTTTCCACGTCCTCCCCGTAAATGCCTTCGTCAATTTTGAAAGAGTCAGGCTGCCAATCGATTACTGTTCCAGCTGGAAGATAATTTCCAGCAATTATGCTTCCGTCTCCAGGTACTGATACTTCAATGCTAGATGTCGTAGCCTGGCAGCGTATCGACTCTTTGAAAACGGCATCCAGGTAACGCAGTCTGCTCACTTCTTCCCATCGAGGAATCTCTGATAGGTGCTCATTGTAGAAGGCCGCGTCTATCTCTCCAGTCAGCCGGCTCATTGTCTCCGGGTGTCGCAACAGCAAGGAGAAAATCGAAACAAATGCTGTTGAAATCGTGTTCATCCCAGCCGTCACAACCGATAAGTAATCCTTGGATATCTCGTTCACTTCTTCATTCCGTCCCTCAGGATTGGAGCCGGGAGGTGTCCAGGAATACTTCTGAGTGGACACACATGAGAAGAGCTCCTGGCGTTCTCGTTTCAACCTCATGATAGGACTCCAGAGTGTCAGATATTCTACCGTCGATGGTGAAGGTCCAGTCCCAACAACTCCTTTCCCACTCCAAGGCATCTTTGCCAATACCTTGTGCGCGAGTTCCGACGCGAATACTTGAAGAGGCCCTGTCATCTCTAGGATTCGATACCTCTGTAGGGCTGAGATCAGGTCACTGGCGGAATGATCGACAATTCCCTCATAGCGCAAGGCACTCGTGTTTCGACAGAAGACGTCACTTATGGAAACATTTCCCAAATCGTTCGACATGCAAATGCTGGATATGGCTTGTTCACGCTCAGAGATAGGATAATCATGAATAGACTATGTAGGCTACTCATCAGTTCATGCTCCTAGCATTGCTTTTTACTTTGAATACCTTTTCTTGGTCTCTGCTACCATAAATCCGCGCAATGGCCTCGGGTTCAGGGATACTGACCACATTCGGCCCTATGCGAACCACCTGGCCGTGCCTCTGGTGCAGTTTACGCACGCGACGGCTATAGTCGGGCGACTCTCGAGCATACCCTCGCCAGAGGTCCGAAACACAAGCATAAACTGGGCCTGGGATCGGCCATAAGCGGGTGTAGTTGTAGAGAACGCGAATAGACAAGACCAGGACCACAACTGTCGCATACACAAGCATGATGGTGGTCAAAGATACGCGAGACAGACATGGAGCTAGCCGTCCACCTTATGTAGTCCATTCGTATCAGCCGACCTTGCAGGTAGACCCGTAAGCTGTATGCGTTAAAAGCTCGCATATTCGCTCCCTGTCAGGCCCCTTTTCTGCCAACCGCGATATCCCGACAGAAACCGGAGGGACCCGGGGGAAGCAATCTAGTCTTCCATTATTTCGCGACAGAAACGAGTTCATAGTACTAAATTGCAGTCCGGTCCCGGCCCAATGTCTTCTCGCGACTGGCCAATACTGTCAAGCTTTTGGTTATTGCTCATGTTCTCTCCATCCAGAAACATGAATTGGCCCGCGACTGCTGTCACCCCCACCTCCGCATGGTGTGCGGATACAGTAATTGCGAACGTGAGCTGTTTCCCTTGACACAGCTGCGGAGAATGGCAGACCAAAGCATATTTATTGGGGAACGAGAGCCAGGAACAATCAACGCCGAACGTCCGCAATCGAGTACATAACAGAAATGGGGACCGGAAACGCTCCGATTCCCGCACTGATAAGAGGCACACTGATTGGTGCGACCGTCTGCCAGTGACCCGGACAGTCGTTATGGACGTGAAGCTCAAGTAACCGAGATCTTCGAGGACAGAGCGTTTTCTGGATCGAATGGCGGTTCTGGGAGGCTCAGAGTTTGTGGGGTAATGCTCCGTACCAGCAGCGGTCGAGTTTGTGCTACTGCTGTTCGACGAAGTTGGTAGAAAACCGCTTATCTCACAAATATCGACAGGGGCGTATTATCAAGATCTGAGATTCTCAATCCATATCAGTTTTGTTTCATTTTTGTATCTTCTGGAAGTCTCCAGTGGTTCAATTTGTTCGGTCATTGCTTACCTTGTCATCGCCACAATCTGCGAAATGCCTTCCTCCCGGCGGTAGACTCGCTTGTCTTCTCAAAATGGCGCAAAGTAGGCCTCGGAATCCATTATTACATCGACGCTCGCAGGCTCGACCTGGCGCGCGACGGTCGATGGTGGCGTATGTGCTTGCTCGTGCTGCAGAATGAGGACGGAAAACTGACGAGAAATAAACAGATGCAATCGATGTCGTAACCGCAAAACACGTTGTGCCGGAACTCCTCCATTGCCCTGTCCAGCATGTGAGGAAGCAGGCCATGTGTGTGTGTATTCTGATGCCGAGAAGAGAGTGTCTGTTCCGGAGAGGTGAGGTTGAAGTTGCGGCGTGGCCCAAAAGGGAAATCCCAGACAAAGGGGCTGACTTTAGCAGTTACTTGCGACAACTCCAATCTCAAGCACATACGCCACAGCAAGGTATGAGTCTGCCCAATAAGCCAGGAATTGTATGCTAATTAAATCTATATAGATGACAATCTCACTGCCAGTATTCTGCCATCATCGTCTCTCCCTGGTTCAACGCAGCCCACGCCTATCACTAACAGCACCAACGTCGAACGAGATGATTGGTGGTACGATGGAACAGACAATCTATTTCTTAATCGATCTGGAGAGCATCGTATGACTCCTTTCTTATCTTGATCATCGTCATGACAGCTGATGCGCGGCAGACTTCGTTGGGGCGTCGTCGGCCACCCACCTGGCCAAACGTTTGAATCCATCGTCGACCGACCTCGCCTGGGACGTGCGTCCACTATACGACGACCCTTCGTCGCTGCGTCGCTCTGTGACTCGGGTGCTGCCTCAATTGCCACCATACGACTTTGCTAAGCGCCTTTTCTGGGTTCAGTATAAGTTCATCGGGGCCATTTTTTCGTTGATTCACCCGCAGGACTTTGAAGAGAGACTGGATATTGTCTACAATCAGCCTGCGGACTTTTCGAATCGAGATTCCTGCTTGATGTACTGCCAGGTCCTGCTGGTCATTGCGTTCGGGCTCATGTACTCTGTGAACCAGTGGTCCGGTGATGACGGCCCTCCGGGCTTCAAGTATTTCAAGTATGCCCTACGTTTTTTACCGGATATCCACGAAGAAGGCTCGATTTTCTTCGTGGACGTTCTGTGCTATGTTGCCTATTATATGCAGAATCTCAATCGCCGCGATGCTGCATTTCTCTATGTAGGTGACCGACTGTAGCTAAAATGAATGGAAACTAACGATAATCAGATCGGTCTTGCCTTGCGAATGGCCATTTCATTGGGCCTTCACCAGGAGGTTTCTGACCAAGCCATAAGTCAAATCGAACGAGACCGCCGTCGACGAGCATGGTGGTCGGTCTACAGCTTGGATCGGTATGCTCACAGTGGAATCCAGAAAATGTGTTGTGTGACGCCAGCTGACTCGGATAGAATACTCTCTGTCAAGTCGGGAAATCCAATTACAATTCATGACGAAGATATTGGAACTGCATGGCCACCTCTAGTACGCCTCCCTGAGGACACCGCAAGATCCCGTTGCTGACGTCGAACAGGAAACATCTGTAGATGTTCCGTGGCCATCAGTCGTGCTTATGCATTATATCAATTTGTCAAGGATCCTAGGCAGAATTGGAGAAGGTAAAGACGCACCGACTTAGGAACCTGGCACATACTAAGGTGGAACAGAGATCTACCGCAAAAAACCTCGCTCCGGATCGAATTTATTGGCGTCTGTACAGAGCATCACCAATTCTCTATCCGACTGGTTGCGACACGTGCCAGACCAGCTTCGCATTGACTTCTCTAATCTTGACGCCCCTATCAGTCGCGAATGCGTGTCGATCAGCTTGCATTTCTACTCGTGTGTCAACATGACTGCAAGGCCGTTGGTGTTCTATGTCATACAACGTCGACTGGATGCAGAGGCCCGAGAATCTGCAACAGAAGATTGGAAAGACGGACTATCTCAGAATGCTGCAGCAGTGATCGATAGCTGCATAAGAGCCGCTCGTGCTACTGCCTTAATCATGGATGCTGCTGCAAAGCAAAACTTGATCGGTATGTTGCTCTGTGGCCTATTTCTAAGTGATTTTGACTGACTCTGTTAGCAACGTATGGCTATTTGGATGGCGAGTACGCGTTTTCCGCTGCCCTTTTGCTGGTAATGGTCAACGCAGCCTTCCCACACAATGAAACCAATTCTCGAACAATGGAAATGGCATTGGATCTTCTGCGTGGAATGGCTGACCGTGGGAACACCTATCTTCGGTCCCGACATTCCTTACTCCTGGAACTTCAATCCGCCATAGGACCCAAGGCATCCAAGCCAGGGGAGCCAGCCACCGCCGCACCTGTCACACCCAACTCTCAGCCACAGAGTCCCCCTGTCGCTCCGATTGAGACTTCGATTGTTACGCCGATGGAATGGCCACTAGAGCAGGATCTCCCATCTATCTATGATGTCTCGTTCAATTTCGACATCAACGACGACCCGGGGTTATGGGATGGGGTCCTTGGGCAAATTGACATTGATATGGACACGGATTGGATTGAGAATACTTTGCGACGGTAGTTACAATTCACTACACAGTGCATACAACGAACTAGTTATATATAGCACTGCCTGGGTGATCCAATTGAACACCACCACCAACAAACTGAAATTCCATATTATTATATCGATGTACGGAGTAGTAGTATATAAGACACAGACTCACCTTAGCAGTAACGATTCTATCTCTCTTCGCTTGTACTCCGTGGCAGTCGAATTCTACAATAGGCCAGTGAGCAAAGGTCCACGGTTCCTGCTTATCTCTCTACCCCTCTATCGTTATCTTATCGTCGGCCCGATACTGCCGACCATCGGCCCGGCACGTAAGCAACGAGGGGAAGAGCGATTGCGAGGAAAGACGAGAAAGCACGACGAGAGGGTCTGATTGTCGGTAATTTCGGGACGCTGAAGGCCCAAAGGCGTATCAGAATGACTCCCCTGGCTGTATGTCGGAGTTGGGGTTATCAGGAGGTTCTTCCGGGGTTATTGTTTCCTCCCCAGATGTGACGTACCTATATTAACTCGGCGCCCCTCGTCTTATTCCTCTTCTCTTTTCTTCTCTCCCCCAGTTTTTCCATAGACAAATCAACCATGGCAGAACCCGGGAAAATCACCATCTCCATCGATCGCGGTGGTACCTTCACCGACGTCCACGCAATTGTCCCTGGTCGTCCGGACATTATCTTGAAGTTGCTCTCCGTCGACCCCGGGCACTATCAGGATGCCCCGACGGAAGGTGTTCGTCAAATTCTCGAACTGGTGACCGGCAGACCTCATCCCCGTGGCAAGCCATTGGAGCTGGATAACATCGGTTGTCTGCGCATGGGAACGACTGTCGCGACAAATGCCCTGCTCGAACGCAAAGGAGCCCGCTCCGTGCTCTTCACCACCAAGGGCTTTCGGGATCTGCTGAAGATCGGTGATCAATCGCGTCCGAATATCTTCGATTTGTCAGTGTCCAGACCGGGTGTGCTTCCCGAGGGCGTGGTCGAGGTCAACGAGCGTGTGGTTCCCTGCCATCCATCTGCTGATAAGGACTGCTTCACGAATGCCCGCGTCGTCCAGGGAGTCACGGGAGACAAGTTCCGTGTGGTGCAGGAGTTGGATATTGACCAGGTTAAGAGCGAACTTGAGCGGTTGAAGAAGGAGGGTTACCAGTCTCTTTCTGTGGCTTTGGTCCATTCGTTTGCATACCCCGAACATGAGTGCCGGATAGGAGAGTTGGCCGAGAGCATGGGCTTCTCTGTCACCTTGTCCTCCAAGCTGCAGCCCATGATCAAGGTTGTTCCTCGAGGCATGTCCGCCACCGCCGATGCATATCTGACGCCCGTGATCAAAACCTACATCGATTCCATCTCGTCCAGTTTCGAAGGCGGCCTGGAGAACCAGCAACAATGCAGATTCGAGTTCATGCAGTCCGACGGTGGACTGGTTGACTTCCGCAGATTCAGTGGCCTCAAGGCTATCTTGTCAGGACCGGCTGCCGGTGTCGTTGGATTTGCTGCTACCAGTTACGATCAGACAGAGAAGACCCCAGTTATTGGATTTGATATGGGAGGAACATCCACGGATGTGTCGAGATTTGACGGTAACCTCGAGCACGTGTTTGGCTCCAAGGTCGCCGGAGTCCTCATTCAATCGCCCCAGCTTGACATCAACACAGTCGCTGCCGGTGGTGGTTCGATTCTGACATGGCGCAACGGCCTGTTTTACGTCGGTCCCGAGTCTGCCAGTGCTCACCCTGGTCCAGCATGCTATCGCAAAGGAGGCCCGTTGACCGTGACCGATGCCAACCTCTTCCTTGGCCGACTAATGCCCAAATATTTCCCCCACATTTTCGGACCTAGCGAAGACCAGCCGCTCGACACCGGAGTAACCGCCAAGTTGTTCAACGAATTGACGCAGAAGATCAACACCGAGCGACGAGAAAAGGAAATGCCCGAGTATAGCCCGGAGGAGGTGGCGCAAGGATTCTTGGAGGTGGCCGACGAGTCGATGGCTCGACCGATTCGCAACCTCACACAAGCTCGCGGCTTCGAAACGACATCGCATCATTTGGCTTGTTTCGGAGGCGCTGGTGGTCAGCACGCATGCACTGTTGCTGCGTCGCTGGGTATCTCTCGCATCATCATCCACAAGTATTCGTCTGTCCTGTCTGCGTACGGCCTGGCTCTGGCCGAGGTGGTCAAGGAGTCGCAGGAGCCAGTTTCCACGGACTACCTGTCGTCGAAATCAAGCTTGCAGAAACAGTTTGAAGACATCTCCAAGGCGGCCACCGAGGACATGAAGACCCAGGGCTTCGCGGAGGATCAGGTCCGACACGAGCTGTACCTCAACATGCGATACGAAGGTTCGGATACCAGTCTGATGATTCTGAAGTCCGAGGACGAGTCTGTAGACTTCCTGGAGCAATTCCGCACTCGTCATCGCCGCGAATTCAATTTCAACTCGGAGCGTCCTGTGCTTGTTGACGACATCCGTGTGCGGACGACCGCTGCTTCCAAGGTCCGAACAGAGAAGAGCCCGCTGGTGCAGCTGAGAGAAGCTAGTATCCAAGATGTGACTGGCGCGCCGGACAACACCACCAAGGCCTACTTCGACGGCCACGGCCGAATCGATACTCCTGTCTATCTCCTCGACAAGCTCGACAAGAACGCCCGTGTGCACGGCCCTGCGGTTATTATCGACAAGACCCAAACCATCGTTGTGGTCCCCGGTGCTGTTGCCAATATCCTCGAGACGTGCATTGTTATCGATTTGAAAGAGACCGACAAGGGCTCTGTGGATGCCGGCAGCCTGACCTCCCAGATTGACCCCATCCGTCTCAGTATCTTCGGACACCGATTCATGTCCATCGCTGAGCAGATGGGTCGTACGTTGCAGAAGACTTCTGTGTCGACCAACATCAAGGAGCGACTTGATTTCTCTTGCGCGTTGTTCTCGCCGGATGGTGGCCTCGTGGCGAACGCGCCACACGTTCCTGTGCATTTGGGATCTATGCAATTCGCCGTTCGCTTCCAGCACCAGAAGTGGCTGGGTAACTTAAAGGACGGCGATGTCCTGGTTGCCAATCACCCAAGCAGTGGTGGTACTCATTTGCCTGATATTACTGTAAGTCGTCTCCCCTCTTTCGTAATTGGTCAGCGGCTAACATGTGCAGGTTATTACACCAGTCTTTGACCGTCCCGGAGGCAGCGAGATCATGTTCTACGTGGCCTCCCGTGGCCACCACGCAGACATAGGTGGTATTCTCCCCGGTTCGATGCCACCCAAGTCCACCGAGCTCTGGCAAGAAGGAGCAACCATCGAAGGCGACAAGGTCGTCAGCAACGGCGTGTTCGACGAAGACCGCATGGTGGAACTCCTGGTGCACAAGCCGGCGCAGTACGAAGGCTGCTCCGGAGCGCGATGCCTCAACGACAACATCTCCGATTTGAAGGCGCAGATCGCCGCGAACACCCGTGGCATCTCTCTGATCCAGAGTCTGTTCACTGAGTACGGCGTGGAAACAGTGCAGAAGTACATGTACGCCATTCAGGCTACTGCTGAGACCGCCGTTCGGAATCTTCTCAAGGGCCTGCATGAGAAATTTGACGGAGAACCGTTGGAGGCAGTGGACTACATGGACGACGGAACGCCTATCCGTCTGAAGGTCACAATCAACGGAGAGGACGGATCCGCCGTGTTCGACTTCACTGGCACCGGCCCAGAAGTGTACGGAGGCTGGAATGCACCGATTGCCATCACCCACTCCGCCATTATTTACTGTCTGCGCTGCTTGATCAACGCAGACGTCCCCTTGAACCAAGGATGCCTGACGCCTATTGACATCCACGTACCATCGCCCAGTATCCTTTCCCCAACGAAGACAGCTGCCGTGGTTGGAGGAAACGTGGTGACCTCGCAGCGTATCACGGACGTGGTCCTCAAGGCATTCCGCGCCTGCGCCGCGTCGCAGGGATGCTGCAACAACTTGACCTTCGGCACCAACAAGCGCACCGACCCTGACACCGGAAAGGAGATCCCCGGTTTCGGATACTACGAGACCATCGCAGGTGGCAGCGGCGCCGGACCAACCTGGGACGGTGAGTCGGGTGTGCATGTGCACATGACCAACACGCGCATTACGGACCCTGAGATTCTCGAGAAACGGTATCCCACCCTGCTCCGGCAGTTCACCCTCCGTGCTGGCTCGGGTGGTAAGGGCACGCATCCCGGTGGTGACGGTGTGGTTCGGGCGATTGAGTTCCTCGCGCCGATGCAGGTCTCAATTCTGTCTGAGCGACGGGTACACCGCCCGTATGGATTGGAAGGTGGTGAGGATGCACAGGCTGGGTTGAACCTGTGGGTGTCGAGGGATAGGGAAACGGGCGAGGAGCGACAGGTGAATATTGGAGGGAAGAATACGGTGCCTGTCCAGACGCATGATCGGTTGGTGGTTATGAGTGCTGGAGGTGGTGGATGGGGAGAGGCGAAATGATTGAACATGCTTATAGCAGATACTGAGTATCAATTAGGATATTAGATATGTACATATTTTACTGCATACGGATTTCTATTTTAAACCGAAAGTCTACGAACGACCAGACTCCCTCCGGTATCGTCGCCAAGACACGATCATAAAGCAAATAGACACGACTACGCCCAGTCCTGCCAGACCAATTCCAAGATATAAAGCGCCACGGAATCCTCAGAGTACAACACGACCCCCATTATTAACATTAGACTCCACGGTCCCGGCAAATCCCAGTCCAAGTGAAATAGAGTAGTTGACGGTAGTGCTGACGAGTGAACCGGCCAGACCTTGATGCTCGCGAGGCATGGCGTTACTGAGAATAAGAGTCCCGGACGGGAAAGACATGTCCCTGGTTCGTTAGCATGTCGTCAATTAGGGCAGAAACGAAGTAAACTTACATCCCCCAAGAAGTGATCAACGATGTGACGAAAGCCTGCGCCCAAAAGGTCTGATGAACCGGGACCGTGGCGAAGATAGTTAAACCTGCTGTGAAAGCAAGCATGGCACAGAACATGATGACGCTTGGAGGAGTACGACCGAGTAAGAAACCGGTAACCAGGGCTGCGATGGCACCGGATGGCCCTGCGGCCACCCATTTCGTCGTGGCGAGCAGAGGACTATCGCCCTTGATAACTTCCATGAATTGAAAGAAGTAGTAGATAACGATGCCGAAACTGGACCAGCCTGCGGCTATGCAGCCTAACACCCAGGCTAGGTCGCCTGTGAAGATGGACCGGGGTAGGAGGGGGCATTTCGCGGTGCGTTCGATGAGACCAAAGATGGCGAGTAGGATGAAGCCAACGATGAGTAGAACATAGGTGTATGGCGTTGGCCAACCGACCAGAGCCGCTTGATTCCAGGCGAAGTTAATCAGCACTAGGGCTGAGATGCCGGTAGCCGCGCCCAAGAGGTCTAGTCGGATCCAGGGTGAAAGATCATCGGTGAACTTGGGCCGTGACTCTTGCGGAATGATCATGATACCAAGGAAAGCCAAAAGAAAGCACACAATCGCCATGATCCAGTAGGCCCAGGGCCACCAGACCTTCTGGGCTAGCAGGGACGAGAAGACACCCCCAACAATAAACCCGTTTGGTGCGGTTGCTCCGAAGAAGCAAAACACCATCCCCTTTCGTGGACCAGGAGGATAAGTTCGACCCAAGATGGCCAGCGCATTGGGCAAGAGTATGGCCGGACCAATGCCCTGAAGGGCCCGGCAGCAGTCGAAAAAGGTTTGACCGGACCAAACACTGAACCCAGCCAGGAGTGACCACAGCCCGAACCAGGCAAACCCGATAATGAACATGAGCTTGTGACCATAGACATCGCCAAATCGACCTGCGACGAGAATGAAAGTGCCCACAGTCAAGCTGTATGCGGCCGCGAACCAGCTAAGCTCCCCCAAGTTGGAGGTATTGAAGCTGTGGGCGATGCGATAGACCGGGGCAATTGACATGCAGAGACCAACCTGGGTCATGAATTGGGCCATGGCCACCACCATGACGAAAGGAATCTCCCTCCAGAGCGTTTTCGGGGGAGCAATGGAGGATTACGAGGTCTTTTCGCGGGTGAGGGCTTCGGGGTCATCGTGCTGACTCTGAGGATCCAATGACTCGGACATGATTGACTGCAAGGTAAATCCTTAAGGCTAAAAATAATAATCGAGCCATAACGACGGATCTATAGGCAATATATAATAGTGGCTGAATACCCATAATAGCTTTGCGGTTGCCACTGGTTGTGATGCTATGCAGGATGGTCCGTCGGATGAGAGACAGATCCGTCGGAATCAGAGTGAGCTTGTTATCAACAACGACAATAGCTTATTTTGATAGAAGCATTGGATAAGTCTTCGGAAGAACCAGACACTGGCTTGATTTTCCCGGAAACCGTCGTTAGCTATGCTATGCAGAGCGGATATGCGGATTTACTGAGTGGTATGACGAGATACGGAGTACAGAATACCCGATGTGAAGATTAAGCTTATCAGCTGAGAATACTCCGAAGTACTACAGACATTCAAGTGGACAATTGAGCCTTAATTCTAACCAAACAAGAAATCAAAGGGCAAAGAGTAGATGATTGTTTGTGATTGTTTGCTTTGTGCCTTGCGCTTCAGGAACACACTGACTCAGCAATCACATGCGCCGGTGAAAAAAAGTAGCAAAAGAAACGAACAAAAGCTCTGAATAGCTTCAAATCCACCCCAAACAGGACAAGACCAGGAGAACCCAGCCGAGGATGCAGTATTACTCTCTTCTGTCTGAGCCTCTGTTTGTGTCTCCTGATTGAATCATGTGCTCAATAGTAGCCATCGCCAAAAACCCCGCCGGCTAAAAGAGCTTCCCCTCACAGTCCGATCTTCTTCTCCTCATCTTCTTTCTTCATCTGTTCTTGTTCTGTCTTTGTCTTCAAAGTCATGGGGAACCCTCCGGCTACCATAATCATCGCCAGGTTTGTAGTGTTGTGTTCGAAGACATGACGACTGTGGCTGACTTGAAATCCCTAGACACGGCGCGCGCCTCGATGCCGCCGACAAAAACTGGCATCTCATCTCCCCGACTCCCTACGACCCTCCCCTTTCCTACGGTGGCTGGATGCAGTCTCGAGCCCTCGGGGCTCGCATCGTTGACCTGCTCACCTCCCAAGATGATTCTCCTTTGATCACCACCACTGGCTCGCCCCGGTCCTATAGCAGTTCCGCAAATGTCTCCCCGGACAGCAGCCCCCGATCGTCTCCCCAGCCACAGCCTTCATCCAGACGGAAGCGCAGAGTTATCATCCATACTTCACCGTACCTGCGATGTGTGCAGACTGCGATCGCCGTTAGCTCTGGCATCAGCCAGTATCATCCATCCCCGGAATCCGACCCTGCAGGCGCATCGACCGACCGGGGTGGAAATGCTGATGCAACTCCGGATGTCCATCGCTCCCTCCTTCGTGTCGATGCCTTTCTTGGCGAGTGGCTGTCTCCCGACTATTTCGAAGACATCATGCCGCCTCCTAATTCCGAACGTCTCATCGGAGCCGCCAAAGCAGAACTGTTGCGACGGAGCGTCAGCACGGTTCCCCAAGCAGATATTAGCAACAAACCGCCGACTGGCTACTTTCCCGGGGGCTGGGGCAGCACCTCCACGCCTACATCCCCCATCCGGGAAGTAGGGCCTCCGCCGACCAATACCATTGCCAGAGGTCAGAGATCTCGCGCCGACAGTTATGATGCCCTGAACTCCGCCCACAGTACTCGCCCCAAGGGTATGCTCAGCAGGATCAATACCAACCTTTCCTCCATCCCCAATGACAGTAGCGGGAGCTATGTGCCGCCCACCCCAAGTTATGCCATCGCTCCCTCGGATCCCATCCCCGCCGGATATGTCACGCACGCCCGGAATGCCTGCGCCAACGTAGACTATCAGTGGGATAGCATGCGCACACCGCAAAGCTGGGGTGATGGCGGTGACTATGGCGAGGAATGGAGCGCCATGCACTCGCGCTTTCGCAACGGCTTGGAGAGCATGGTCGAGTGGTATCAAGACAATGGCAACGCACAGTTGAATCCACAACAGCCGCTGGACGGCTGCGAGAAAGACAACGACAAGAACGAAGATGACGGCGACGACGCGGTGGACACTGTATTGGTTCTGATCACGCATGGCGCTGGCTGCAATGCCATGGTTGGGGCTTTGACAGGAGAGCCCGTATTGCTGGATTTCAACACGGCATCTCTCACCATGGCTGTGCGCAAGGACGCTTCTGAGGATACGCCGGGCGTGAAACCCCGTTATCGGTCCGTGAGCGATCCATCCCGCCTCCTGGCATATGACCTGAAATTAGCCGCATCGGTTGATCATCTCCGTCCTCCGGCAAAGCACCCAACGCGGGGTGGTTCGTCGACCTTGTCGTCACCAGTCACTTTGTCTTCTCCGTCGGTGCCTTACCGGCATCGGGCGACGTCCCGGTCATCCCTATTGCAAGGGCAGTTCATTATCGGACCATCGACACCGGGTCTCAGCTCACAACCGTTGACGAACGGGCGGCCATCAACCGCCCCACGCGGTGCATCAGGTCTCTGGGGGTCAAATTCGACTAGCGGCGATGATTCCGCCGATGACATTGTGCCCAATTTTGGTGGTCCGGTAGTGTCCAATCCATCCGCGGATGGGGAAGGGAGCGTCGAGCACAAGCCCGAAGAAGCACCGACGAGTTGGGGGAACAATCAAGTTCCCCAACGGACTTCGTCCCAACGCGGCCTCTGGGGTAGTGCTCCGTTAAAAACCGATCGGACCGATGTCAAACGGCGCTGGACGGTGACCGAACGGAGGGTATGACAGAGGTGCTTGGCATGCAACTTGACGTACGAATCAGCGTTTCTTTTTGCTTTATTTTGATGCGATTTTTAGGATACCTCAAACTGTTTTTGCTGCTTATTGGATGCATTTCAAGGCGTTGGGAATTGCTTAGGGCCACCACTTCCGGTCACAGCGTGTTTCGCTGATTTTGAGCACGAAGTCAACTCATTCGACTCACTATATTCTTTTGGCATCTGTAGAATTGGTCTCAAGCCCTCGTAGTGGTACTTTTATACAGGCCTAATATTCTACCTGTGATTGGCTGGCGGTATTGATACCTGAGGCGTAGCGGGGTTCCCCGGATTTCCTCATCGGGCACCTTGTGACTTCTTCCTCGCTCTCCCTCACTCTCTTCCACACACTCTCTCCTGCTCACTGAACTTCTTTTCTATTCTCTCTTTAAAGATTTTTTTGGCTTCCCTCTTTCTTTACTCAACCTGCAGATGTCCGTTCTCGAGACTGGCGGCCTGTCCGTCACCCACTCGTCCCAGCGCACCGGGAGTCCGGATCTACGTCTTCTCCATTACAACGATGTCTATCACGTCGAGTACGCCCCTTGCACATACCTGAACACACGACATATGCTAACCTCTCAGGTCCGGTTCCGCAGAGCCCGTCGGTGGTGTCGCTCGCTTCCAATCCGTCGTCAACTACTACCGTTCCCACCCCCGCTTCATCGATCAACCTGGGCTCCTCACCTTTTTCTCCGGCGATGCCTTCAATCCAAGTATCGAGAGTACCGTGACTAAGGGCAGGCATATGATACCTTTTCTGAACAAGGCAGGGACGGATGTGGCATGTATGGGCGTATGTACTCCGTCGAGGGAATTTGTTGTCGTATGATGTCGACCAGAATCTGACAATTGTCCCGCGATGAGGTATAGAACCATGATCTTGACTTTGGTGTCGCTCAATTCCGCCATCTGCGCAGTCAAGGGAAGTTTCCCTGGCTGCTGGCGAATGTCCTCGACCCAGCATTGGGTGAGGGTGTGCCTATCGCCAATTGTGAGCAGACGGTGATGTTGACTGCATCCAATGGGCTCAAGGTCGGTGTGCTTGGACTGGGTGAGAGAGAATGGTAAGTCCTCGTGGCACTGTCTGGATGCAGAAGCTGACACTTGTAGGCTGGAAACAATCAACGCCCTCCCACCTGACCTCATCTACAAATCTGCCACCGAAACTGCCCTCGAACTTGCTCCCCGCCTCCGCGAACAAGGCGCCGATCTGATCGTGGCCGTCACACATCAACGAGAACCGAACGACGACAAACTGGCCAAGAACCTCCCTACGGGAACCGTGGATATCATCTTGGGAGGCCACGACCATTTCTACGCCCATTCGATTATCAACGGAACCCACGTTCTCCGATCCGGAACCGACTTCAAACAGCTGAGCTATATCGAAGCATGGCGGAAGTCGGATGGCTCTTGGGACTTTAGTATTGATCGACGTGATATGGTCCGAGCAATCCCGGAGGATGCCGCTACGGTGAACCTGGTGGCGCGTTTGACCTCGAGCCTCAAAGCCAAATTGGAGAAACCAATCGGCTTCACGGTTCGTCCGCTAGATGCTCGGTTCTCTACGGTTCGACAAAAGGAATCCAACTTGGGCAACTTTGTTTGTGACTTGATGCGCCACTACTACGCTGCTGACTGTGCGATGATGGCCGGAGGCACTATGCGCGGGGATCAGGTCTACCCGCCCGGAGTCATACGATTGAAGGACATCCTGAACTGCTTTCCATTTGAGGACCCTGTAGTCTTAGTGCGTGTCAAGGGCGATGCGCTCTTCGAAGCATTGGAGAACGGTGTCAGTCAGCTGCCTGCTATGGAAGGCCGATTCACTCAAGTGTCCAACATTTCTTTCGGGTTTAAACCATCTGCACCACCTGGATCGCGCGTCACCTTCGCCAAGATTGGCGGCAAACCCATCGACTACGACCGCAAGTATGTTCTGGCGACGAGAGGATACATGTCCCGCGGCAAGGATGGCTTCGCGTCGCTACTGACACAGTCTGAAGGGGGTGAGGTAGAGGAGATAGTCGATGAGGAGAGCGGAGTACTCCTCAGCACGATTCTCCGACAATACTTCTTGAGTTTGAGGGTAATGGGCCGGTGGCAACGTTGGAGTAACAGTATGGCTCGGCACTGGGATGGTGTGCACAAGGGACTGCACTGCAACGGCCGGGTGAAACCTCCGTCAGCAGGCCCATCACCTGTTTCAGAAAAGGTACCCGCACAACCGCAACGCCCCGGTCTGTCGCGGACCAGCAAAGCGTACTACTATGGTCGATTCCCCCAGATCGCGGCGATAGAAGAAGACGCAGAAGCCGAGGCCGAAGCGGAAGAGGATGTCATGGACTCGGACTCTGATGACGATCCGGATATCTTGACTACGGCCCAACCCATGACCAACTATGTGACACTCCCGGCGCAATCTGCCGCGGAAGAAGAGTACCGACTAAGACTCGCGCGTCAGGTGTTGCGCAAATGGATGCGGAAGACGGGATTGCGCTCGTCGCGGCTCGATGCCTTGAATCACGGCGAGGGTGAATTCGAGTACACTCCCGCATGGACGCAAGGAATTGCACCACGACTAGAAGGACGGATTGTGATCGAGGAGTGAGGAGATTTGATTTCTTGATGGCAGTGATGAACAATATGGCTTATGAATAGATATGGTATAGACTTTCTTGTACATCTAGAAATACCACCGGCATTCACCCCGTCTTGCTTTTTCGGATGAAATACTCTCCTCCCCTGAACGCTTTATACACCCCATATAGCCCACTAACAGGCCGAATCTCCCAAACCACGCTCTTCACCCAATCGACCCAATTCTGAGGCCCCTGTTGCGGACTCAAATCAACACGCACCTTCTGATACAGATCCGGCAGGTAGGACGCATGGTACTTCTCCCGCAACGCGTCATACTGCTTCTTATCGTAGATAGACCAGAACTCATCTTCGGTGTAGTACGCATGCGCATACAACCACTTCTTCCCCTGCAGATCGAGAACCTTCCGTTCGAGACGACGGTTCTGCGCTAGGAATGCAGAGCGGTCACTTGGATGGCGCGAGGGCGCCCATAAGCCAAAATTCATGAGGTAATCATCGTCCGTGGTTGCGTTTGGCTTCTTTTCGAATTCGGATCCAGTGCTTTTCTCAGCTGCAGAAACAGACCGCTCCATAACCTCGGGACCATGTCTCAGTGGACAGAGCCAGATCGGGTACGCACCGAAGTTCTCCTTGTTGTCGAGCCAGTCGACGAATTCGCTCGTGCCGGCGTATGGCACCGCCACATCTTGGATGATGTACCGTTTTGCGTGGCCGCTTTCGTGCAAGGCGTGGTACATAACCCGGGTGTGCATGAACCAGTCCAGCAAGACACGCGTGAGGTAAATGAACGGGACGAAGAAATAGCTGTACGCGTAGCGGCCTACCCAGAATGCCCCACGGTCGTAGCGGAAGAGGTAGTCGGCGAGGGGGATGTAGTCGACTGCAGCTTGGTCTAGTGTTGGACCTGAGGACTGGTGACTACGGTTCTGGGCACGTAAATAGTACCATTCATCCCATGGTCTAGTGAGACGTACTGGTGCTGTATGAGGGACGTCGACTAGTTTCCCCGCGCAGACGACGACATGGTCCCGCGCGTAGACAATACCGTCCAGGTACTCGGTGCTAGGGTCGTTTGTGACCGTCCGGAACACATGCATGGCCTCGTCCATACTCGAGGTGGAATGGTAGCGCAGCTCTATGAACGGCTTGGCGGGGCGCAGCTGCACCTCGAGCATGGTCACCACGCCCAAAGTACCGAATGCCGACGCAGCGCCCCAGAACAGATCCGTCCGGTCGGTCTTCGAAGCCCGGGTGATCTCGCCGTTTGGGAGGATAAATTCAATCCAGTTTACTGTCGCGTCGAAGAACCCGTGGCGGAATGAGCTGCTTTCTCCGGACGTTCCGGAGAAGCCCCCGCCCACGGTGATGCCGGGGAATTCCATGACCACCAGCGGGACTAGGTGATGCGCCGCGGTGGCCTGGGCGAGGGCGTCCATTGGGACATTGGGCTCGACGAGAGCCGTCTGAGTGGTCGTGTTGACATCCAGAACATGAGTCAGGTCCGCAGTCGAGATGGTATTATCCGGACCATGCTGGGATTGGCGCGTGCTGTTGGTTGAGCCATGGTAGATGCGGAACGGTCGTTGGAGCTGGTGGAAGCGCTCGACCTCGGAGGCAATTGCCTTGACAGCTGTATTGTGATGCTCCATAGCGCAGATTATACCACAAGGAGTAAGACGTGAGGTCAAGATGAGGTTGCGCGTTTAAGTTGTATCGCTTAACTACAGTGTTGCCTGGATGATGTCATGCCAAGATCTATCAGATCGATAAGATAAACTCAATTGCAGATATCAAACGCCATGGTATCTTTTGATGCTAAGAAATGCTAGTAAATACTGGAAATTACATGTACACGCTACTGAATCCCTACGGGTCGCGCACCCGATAGATTCACCACACGACCCCCTCCGCCGGAGCCAACAGGCGCCGCGGCGGGTTTTGGCGGTTTCACCCACCCAGGCACGTTGTCATCCTCGCTCTCGCGAGCATATATGGTTTGCCACACATTCGGAAATCCTGTGGGTATTGCGCCCCGCATACGGGCTCCGGGGATGGCGAACCGCGGGTTGCCATGAGTGAGATATCCACGCAGGAGACCTTGGGTCAACAACGACGCCAGGATGGACTCGATTTCCCGCATCATCGGTGTCGGTTTTCCTCGAGCTTCGTCCTCCGGATCCAATGCAGTCCGATCGGCATATGGATCCAGTTCATGCTGACTGTAATCGGCATTCGGGTCCCCGTCCGTCAAGGTGTGAGCGGGGTTCTTTTGTAACTGCCCCAACGCATCGAAGCAAGTATCCGGGGCTAGGTAATCGTCATATTTCGAAGACACGATGCGATCGGTGCCGCTTGTGTCCGGGTCATGGGAGTCGGCAAAATCTGGGTCCGGCGCCTTGTAGATAATCTGCGACCCAGCCGTGTTTTCGCCCGCTTTGGCATCCAATGCTCGACTGGGTGGAATAAAGCTGATCGCACCGAGCGATGATTGCACGTGTCGCGACTGAAGCCACCTGACAGCTGTTTCGAGCTTCTTCAAGTAGAGGTAGGGTGGCGGACTGCGTTGAGCTGCAGGGTCCCCAAGAAAGCCTCCATGGATGAACACCTTGCGTGCCAGGGACCGCCATACTATGATTTCGCAGCGATTGCGCAATGCCAGAAGAATGCCTTTCCGAGCAAACCATTCGTTTGCCGGCGAGTCAAAGGCAAGGTGTTCCCGAAAGGCAATATAATCGCCCTGGGCAATCAGTTGGCAGATGGGCACAAACCTCTCCGCCAGTCCCTGGGCCTCTGGGCGCTGCAGCAGCTGCCTGGAGGGGAAACGGCCCATGATGATATTGCACGGAATGAGATGGGTAAGAATAACTCGTTTCTGCTGTAATGCTTGACGGTGGCACTGGTCGTATGCGGCCTGCAAGGCAATCTGCGCAGGATAGAAGAGGTTATTTGAGAAGAGATATCGTCCGAGGTAGTGGAGGTAGGTGACTCGCTGCGATGCAGGGAAGTAAGTCAAAGGAGGGGATTGAGCGCTGATACTGGCAAACATCTGTTCTGCATTGCGAAGCTTGCCGCACTATATCGTGGTCAGGTCAGTTCATAAGCTCTTCAACCTCATGCAGACGGGTAAATACCTGGAAAAGAAGTTTCAAACACAAGTTGGCCATAAGATAGATCCCGATGCGCCGTCCTTCAGGTTTTCCCTGCACTCCTGGGGTGCCGCTGCGGTCAGTGAGACACTTGATGAAGGCCTCGCGGACCACGTTGGCCGATTTTTCCACCAATGTCACTTTCTCCACACTCTCATCTTGATTAGACCGGCCCTCGAGACGTAATAAATGTGCAATCAAGTCGGGTCGACGATCCAACCCCATGGCCAGTTTTGCGAGGACTTTGCACAGGTAGAGGACGGTGGGTAGAACGATGACACCCATTTGGCTGTCACCTAGCGCTAGGACACATTGACTATAGAGGCATGACTCGTCAGAACAATCGCGATGGTGGGGAGTATCGATGAAACTTACTTGAGCAGTCCCTTGAGCAAATTATAGGTTTCGAGGAGGTTCTCGACGTTCACATCGCGAAGAAAGGTAAAGTAGAGTTTTATGAAGGTGGGAAAGGCGATCCATGAGCTGCTCTCCCTGGAGCGCGGTACAAGGCTTTCGCATCGTCGCAGTAATTCGGCGTCTTTCTGTGGGGATTCCGCCGGATATCGTTGGCGTAGCTCGACGACCATTTGCTGGTAGATATCGGACAGCGGCGGTTCGAGTTGGAGAAAGTCCTGCAATTTGGCACCATCGCGTTGTCGAACGAGATCTGCGATACTACACAGGAATCGATCCAAGACGGAGCTTCCTGGCGTCGCCATTGTGACGGATATCTGGCTGCGGAGATGCGACTGTAGGATTGGAGACCGTCCCAGGTCGGAGGGGCTTAATTATAGAGACACGAATGAGAATTTAGCATGTTGTGCACTGCATATTCATCGAATACTGTAGATGTAAGATCGAGAGCAATATGCCGTGCACAGTAGTGTCAGTTGGAGTAGACGCGGTGCCAAAGGAGATGGAGAAAAGTCGAGGCCATTGGGGGTTCTGCCGCTTTTGTGTCCCCGCCTAGAAGACCGCCTTCCAGAATCCGGAGATCGCAATCAGATATCACGAAACATTCGCTATGAGCCTATGTATCCATTGGGGAGAGATGATATGATGTATGAGGGCTTTTGCAGCAAATTATACGAAGAAGGCTCGACTGTTAATGCAGCGAACTATTCATGATCCTCTCTACTCCGTACTTTTTGATTAGATGGAAGTCCGGGAGCCGAGATAATATGTCTGTAACCAGACTAGACATGGTTGGCTTGATCTGTTAAACTAAAGAAGAGAAGGAGGAGTGTAGTGACAGAGCTAGGCGATCTGCGAGAATTGAGCACTGACGTGTAAACGAAGATATGTACTTTGTAGTCCCCGACATTTAGGGCATAACAATTACAGATACGGCAACGACTCTACGATAAGTACGTAGTTAGTGGGCGTGCTAGTTGCGAGTACCCCTGTACCCTGGTATGTACCCCTGTGACAAGAAGAAATCAGGGCATTGATTGAATTCATGTGAAAAAAAAAAATGATAAGAATCGATCCTGTTTTGCGCCGAGATTCACATGGCGTCAAGCCGGATCCATGGTGACGTCACACCTTCCGCTTGCCTTAAAAGGAAAAGAACGCTTTCGTCCACTTTCTCTTGTCTCATCTTTCTTACTCTCTACTCTCTACTCTACATATTCTTCTCTCAGTCTTCGTTTACCTTTCCCATACTGAGAGACACCAATTGAATTACCAATTAGCCATTGACATCGACAGCCATGTCCTCGCGGCAGGGCCAGTGGTCTCTCTCGGCCCTCATCAAGTATCCATTTCTGGAGATCTTTAGTTTCGCCTATGTCATCTTCCAGACTGTACTCAATTGGGTCTTTGCCCCTGTTCCTCCACCGCCGACTTCGCCTGCCACCAGTCTTCCCAAGAAGCGTGTTGCCGTCATCGGTGCTGGTCTAACAGGAGTCTCGTCTGCTGCTCATTGTGTCGGTCATGGTTTTGATGTGCAGCTCTTCGAGAGTCGCTCCAAGGAGAAGGGTCTCGGTGGTATCTGGAGTGTATGTTATTTCTGTATCTCATAGTAAAAACGGATGCTGACCTCCACGCAGAGAGTGAACTCGACATCCTCGCTCCAGATTCACAGTCTGATGTACCGGTTCCATCCTTCCGTGCGATATGATACCGCCTATCCGACGCAACAGGAAATCCGCGACCAGATCGTCGGGGTGTGGAAGCGCTATGGCCTGCAGAAGCGGACCGTGTTCGACACCAAGGTGACCTCTGTGAAACAAGGAAAGGATGGGAAATGGATCATCAACGACAATGAAAAGGAATACGGCCGTTTCGATGGCATTCTAGCCACGGTGGGTGTTTGTGGTGACCCCAAGATGCCGACTCTCCCCGACCAAAGCAAATTCAAAGGCGGCCTGTACCACTCGTCCGATCTCGATGGCAAGCACGTCAAAGGCAAAAAAGTGCTCGTGGTTGGCGGTGGTGCCAGTGCCATTGAGGCACTCGAGTATGCTGCCAAGTCGGGTGCCCGCGAGATCGATGTCCTGTCCCGTTCGGACAAGTGGGTGATCCCGCGAAACTTTTTTGTACAGTCGTTGTTGGCCATGAACATCTTTGGACAGGAAACCACCTTCTCCTGGATTCCCGAATGGTTGTTGCACAAGCTGTTCTACCGTGACATGCAGGACATTGCCCCGTCCGGAGGTCTCTTTACGCAGACGCCCATGGCCAACTCGGAGCTGTTCGATTCGATCCGAGATGGTCACACGCGCTGGCTCCGTGGTGATATTGTCCAGGTCCAGGAAGATGGAATTCTCTTCAACCATCGTACCCAAGGTGTTCCCAAGGGCGGACCTGGCCGCGAATCGGTCGTAACGGGTGATGCAATCATCTTGGCCACGGGTTTCAAGCGTCCTTCGCTTTCGTTCTTGCCAGAAGAAGTCTTCGAAGAGCCCTATGGACCGCCCAGCTGGTATCTCCAGGTCTTCCCGCCCAAGTACACCAGCATCTGTGCCAACAACAGCACCTACGTCGATGCCATTGGCACCGTGGGCAATATGCATATTGGCATTTATACTCGGTTCCTTTTGATGTTCTTGGTTGATCCGTTGTCGCAACCGACAGAGGGGCGTATGAAGACCTGGATTGACTGGACTCGACTTATGAAGCGGTTCTCCCCGACAGGTGCATTTGACTTCTTCACCTACTCAGAGCTCATCTACTGGTTCCTGTTTGTGATCTTGGTCAACCCCTTCCGGTGGAAGTGGGCGCCATTCGTCCTGTTTGGTGTCGGCCGGGCTCTACCCATGGAAGTGGTTAAGCAGGAGGAAGCCTTTCGCAAGACCTTGAAAAAGCAACGGTGATTAACATAAAAAATGAAAATGGTATAGAGGCGTCGGAATAGCTATATGTATTGATGATTTTTTTTTTTTTTTTTGTACGGATATCCTTAGTCGATTGTTAGCAATCAAGTGTGTTATTTATATCCTACTTTCTTTTCCTATACTCCATTTACTGATGTGACGGTTAGCTGGCGGCCGAAAAAGGCTACTTCAGTGGCCGTTTTAACGAGTCCTGCTAACCAACTCCCGTCTTGGCATCAAGTAAGCGTATTCCCACGGCCACGGGCTTTCCCTCCACGCCAGGCCACGGGTTTCATGTTCCTTGACGCTAGTCTCAAATGGGACTTTTGTTGCTATTTCGTTCAACATCATCTAACCCCTAATAACCCTAATAGACGCTCTCGCTGCAGTCGCTGCGGAGGGAGCCTTTTTTGGCTCCCCCCTTGACCATCATGCTCTCTCCAGTTATAAGTCCCACCATGCCGACCGTGTCCTTCCCTGCTTCCATCCTTCCTTCCATGAACATCTCTTGCAGCGCTTCCCATCCTTTCACAGTACGTCATCCTCATCCATGAAACCGCTGTTATCCTCACCTTCTTTATCTCCCACTCCAGGTTTTTCTTTGTTTGCTGTGTCAACCATGGCGCCTCACTCCTGACCAGTCAGATCTGACGACAATGAGAATCAGACACCATTTTTCTAATAGGTATGGGTTGCTCTGAGCCATTGAGGTCTCTAGCCTTAGCGCCGCAGTCGCTCTTTCTGAAAATTGTGGCTTTATTGGCCTGTTATCAAGGTTAATTGGCTCAACCCCAATTTGGAATCTATGAGTATCCGCAGGGAGCCTCGTCGGCCCGCATTGGTCCAAACCAAGGATCACCAAATGTTCCCTGGAGGTACGCGGAATGTGCATGTTGGTGACCCACTTCTCCAGGAGATGGATATCAGAACAATGAGAGCTCTTTATCTATACTTGGAACAACTGCGGCATTAAGGCTTTTGCTTCGCCTCACTACTGAAAACTTATACGCCATTGAAACGAGGTACTCCTGTTTGAGTCCTACTTCAAACAGGTTACTTGCATTATACTTGCTGCCGTGTAATTTTGTTCTTAGGTCTTGTTCTTCTCCTGGTTTTCATC